GAGGAGGGGGAAGCCGGCCAGCTCGGCGTAGGAGGTGACGACGTCCTGCAGGGTCTTGCCCACGATTGTGTACTCTTCTAGACCGCCGTAGTCTTGTCTCAAGACTGAGTAGAACCCCCACATGCCGTCCATCTCGCAGCCGATGGAGTACATGCCTCGGGAGTGAGACGTGGAGAAGGTAGCCACGCACCCGTTGGGGGTGGCGTTGATGAGCAGGGGAATGTGCTTGTACAGAGGATCAGTGCGGTACGAGTCGTAGCCGAAGCTGTCTGTAGCGTTGAGCTCGAAACGGCGGCCAGCCAAGTTCATGGGAGCCGCCTTCTCACCCAGACCGACGTAGAGGGTGTTGCGGTTGTAGCGGGTGTAGTGAGCGACACCGTCGCCATTGACCGTGTATGAACGGTGAGGCACATCCTGGCGGAGAGGAGCGCCACTGGAGCCCTTGCGGGAGATGGTGACCAGAGGAGTGGACGACGTCTCCCAGTCGACCTTGGCCTCGAAGTCCCCAGCATCGATGGTCTTGACGGAGCCGGTGGTGGTGCTGGTCAACTCGGCGCCAGACAGGTCCTTGGTGGGAATGGGGATGTTGGGGTACGGGGCAGTGGGATATCTGCTGGAGGTGAAGCTTGTGCGGAAGATGTTGGGACGCACAGCCTCGAACTGGAATGTGAAGTCCAAACCCTGGTCGTCGCTGGTGAGCGTCACCGAGGGAGCGGCAGCCTCGCTCGCGGCGGTGGCAGACACCCACTTGGCAGGGATGCGTTCGCGCTGAGGAGCCATCTTTTGCGAGATACAGAAAGATGAAAAGAGAGTGATACGTGACAAGAGGGGAAAAGCTCAAGTCGGGAAAGCTGAGTGTACGGCTCTTAAGAACGTCGATGAGACTCGAGTTGCTTCTTCTTGTGAGTGAGATGCATACAATTCACGACGGCCCAAGCGATCTATAGTCCGGCAGCGTCCCGACGAGCGGACGGAAATCAGCCTGCCAACAGCGACACGAGCGAATTCTTCTGGCCTTCCATGTGACCTCGTTTCCCCGAGCAGCCCCTCACGCCTCCCCACAAAGCTCTGGGTTCTCCGCGCGAGACTGAGACTGACGTCTTGCGAGGCCATTCGTCCTGGTCCCATCCGTGATGCGTGTATGGTTGCAACGGTGGGCTGGGGTCGGCAACAGAGCCAGAATCTGCGACGAACTGGCCCACGGTTCGATGACCAGGGGCATGATTGGCTGCTTGGGGTTGAGTCTCGGCTTGACGTTTGAAATCTCCGACCCGGATCCGGACAAAGCGGCTCCAGTGCCGAATTCTCCGGCACTTGCCAGTAGCCCGGCCTCTGGATTCCCCTGGATGAGGCTCCAGCGAGTCATTCATTACACTGTTGCCCAGGGACCCTTCTCTCCAGAGTTTGCTGAACCTTGACCGAGGTCCCCAGACGGAGTCTCCAGCAATTTTAATGTGTCAATGCTACATTCTCCGCAAGGCAACCAGTCCCCATGGGGCCGTTTTTTTCTCTTCTCCCTGTTTTTCCCTCTGACGAGCAATTATTCAGTCTATTAACCACCCACCCAGACTACTGGAGCTAGGATCGGATCCAAGTCCGTTCGACGGAGAATCAGGAAACCCTTGAGCAGGCGGTGGCGACGCTCGACTATATCAGCTCGACATCCCTCCCCGTTCTCATCTGATAACACACACGATTATCAAGACGTTCCATCTGTCCCAATCTGGAACCTGAAGCGTCTTGGTCTCTTATTTCTTACCCTCTTCATTATAGTTTCAGAGTTTCGGTCAACATGGCTGCTGAGAACAAAGAGACCGTGGACGACATTCAGGTCGAGAGCGCGCCTCAGGTCCAAAACGACAAGGGTGCTGCTTCTGCAGAGGGCAACGATGACCTCGTCAACAAGTTTGTAGGCCAGAAGGGCGCCGCCGCCGAGTTCCTCAAGCAGATCGACCAACCCATCGTCGTGACCCCCGAGGACAACAAGCGCGTTCTGCGAAAGATTGACTGGCGTATCCTGCCCATCATTCTCTTCGTCTACTGCCTTCAGTCGCTCGACAAAACAACTCTCTCTTACGCGTCCGTCTTCGGCCTCATCAAGGACACTAACCTCGTTGGTGATCAATTCTCATGGCTCGGCTCCGTTGTCTACGTTGCCCAGCTGGTCTTCCAGCCTCTGATTGCCTACTTCCTCGTTAAATTTCCCATTGGAAAGTTCTCTGCCACCATGGTTTTCCTGTGGGGCGCGGTTCTATGTAAGAGGCATAGCCATCGACAACAACTCAACATGCTAACCAACTCCTAGGCTGCATGGCCGCGAGCCACAACTTTACCGGCCTTATGGTAACTCGGCTACTCCTTGGCACTTTCGAGGCCTCAGTTGGTATGTTCCTGAGTTGTGGGGCGCGGGTGGTGGTTGACGCGAATATCAAACTGACAACTCTCAGCACCCACATTCGTCGCCGTTGTTCAAATGTGGTATCGACGACGAGAACAAACTACAAGAAACGCCGCATGGTATTCGACCTTAGGCATCGGTAAAAATTTCCCTTTTAGGAATAGCGTAACTTTCTCACAATAGCTAACTTTTATCAGTGAACAGTATGCCCCCCCGTGGATGAGACCCCAACCCCATGATCGAATCTAACAGTTACTAGTGCTGGGAAGTTTACTCGCGTACGGCCTCGGACACATCCAGTCCTCCCTGCGCCCCTACCAGATCATTTTCCGTAAGAGACGTTGTTAATGGGTTGATAATTGCTTATTGTTTGGCTAACACCCCCGATAGTCTTTTGTGGTGCTGTCACTGTAGCCTTCAGCGCTGTGATGTTGTAAGTAACTCTTGTGAGCTCGTATAACTCTGAATATTTTATATCTAATATGAATCTTTAGTATCTTTATGCCAGACTCTCCTATCACGGCCAAGTTCCTCAACCAGGAAGAGAAGCATGTTGCGGTCGAGCGATTGCGCATGAACCAGCAGGGAATGGGCTCTGGCGAATGGAAATGGGACCATGTCAAGGATGCTGCGCTCGACCCAAAGACCTATCTTTGGTTCTCTCTCATATTCCTTATCTCGTACGTTACCGATTTGGCAGCTCCAAGATATCTGGTTGCTAACTCCTTTGCAGCATCCCCAGCGGTGGAATCTCGACTTTCGGACCTCTTATCATCGAAAGTTTCGGCTTCGACAGCTTCACAACAATCCTGTTCAATATCCCTTTCGGCGCGGTTCAGATGATTGCAACCCTTGGAGGTGCTTTCCTGGCAGACAAGATCCGCATGAAATCTCCGGTCCTCCTCCTTCTCTGCCTCCCCCCCATTGCCGGATGTGCTATCCTTATGGCTGTTGGGCGCTCTCCCTCCGATCGCGCTGTTCTTCTCACCGGATATTATATCGTTTCCTTCTACCCCGGTATCTCCCCCCTGATCTACTCTTGGTCTGGCCAGAACACTGGAGGAGACACCAAGCGTAAAGTTACCACCGCCATTATATTTATCGGACAATCAGCGGGCAATATTGTTGGTCCTCTTCTGTTCCGCCCTGCTGAGAAGCCGTACTATTCTCGTGGTCTCCGGGCCAATTTGGCCATCTTCGTTGCTCTGGCTGTGGTCGTTGCACTCGGCATGCTGCTCATTAAGATCCTGAACAAGAGACAAGCCGCTAAGCGTGTCGCAATGGGCAAGCCTGAGCATATTGTCGATGTCAGCATGGCCGCAGGCGACGCGATTGATAATGAGGAGAACAAGGCGCAGCAGCAGATCGACGAGGCTCAGGGCGACAGCGCCTTTGATGACATCACGGATAACAAGAATGAGGATTTCATCTATGTATACTAGTTCAATCAGGATTTGGGGCTCCATGGGTTTCTTTCAGCTTGTGTGAGAGAGCTGTGGATAATGGTCCGGGTCTCATCGAGTGAGCAGGACTCTTGGTTGTACATCCTATACAGAATAATGCAACAAGCCCTTATTGAAACTTGTGATTGACCAAGAAGTCTTCTAGAATTTAAACCTATGAATTTGTTTCAGTACTTGGGGGGGGATAGTTGTGTTACTAGACGACGATCTCAAACTCTCATGTGTTCCACTCAATTGCTTTCAGCGTTAACGGTTGACAATAATAACTACAATAACCACAATAAATGCCAAATAAAAAAGAAAATTTGTTTATTAAATTGATATTTCTTATTTATTGTGTTTCTTTAGTTAATATTGTTTCAGAAGTCAATGTCGGTGGTCCGTCGGCTTGAAGCCTATTGCCTCAACACCCACTGCTCGAGCTTCTCTTTCACTTAATTCATGTGCCTTATGCTTCTGACATTGCTTTACTCTCTTCCTCAAGGAATAAAAAAAACTCAGCCGACCGAGACTATATCCTCTTAACGCTCCGTAGGCCTTCTCCCCGAGCATCACTGAAGTACAAGGCCGTCCCGCCATCCGTCGTCCACCACGGCCACGACCATATAATTGATCCTGAGTCTTGGGTCTGAGTTCTCATATGAGCTGGCCCGCCACTGTCTACACGCAGCATACCCTTACTAGGTGAGTGTGTTGCATTGGGAAACACACTGATTGAGAAAGTTGTCTGCGCTTGGCAGTCTTTGAAGGTGGTCGCATTGCGGAATGGAAAGAGCGACTGGAAGCTTGACCTCGATCTAGCTCTTGCCTCGATCTAGCTCCTGGCTCGAGCTGATTTTAGGCTACCACACGATACGCGTAAGCAGCCAAATCCGAACCCAAAACCATTTCTTGACTTGTTGTGTTTTCCTGCTCCTCTCTCTATTACTGCATTGACAATCAACAAGTGTTCGCCTCATTCTGTGACGCTACCATAGCACAACAACAATTTTTACGATAAATTCACTATATTTTTTACAATGCCTAGTAGCCAAAATTGGCAGTTGTCGCAAGGCAGTCGAGCGGCAGGTTGCTGATACGGGCGCGTTCTTACAGATCAGAGCGCAGAAGTGTAGAATACCAGGCTCAGCTGCAACGAGATGTTTGCTTTTGGTAAGCGACTGCTTAGTTTTTCTAAATACATCTACTTGCTAATAAACCCAATAGGAACCCTTCATCGTCTCCCAAACGGCGTTGTCGACGCCCTCACTACAACTTCCCGCGCCCTTCCCAGTCGACTGGTATTATAACACCAGCAAAGAGGTAACACGATCAGGCCCTAGACGGGCATCGATCATTGGCTCCAATCGATGGGAATAAGAAACCATTGACTCCCATTAGTGGGAGTCAACCACCAGCTCCAATCGTTGGGACCAAACCATCCGCTCCCATCTTTGGGACCAAGAAGAAACCCGCTGCCGGGCTGTCGCAGAGTTCATTCAATCGGAATATCAAGGAGCTCTACCCGGCCAAAGGCCAGTCCTACGAGAAAGATCAAGAGACTGGCAAGTTATACCTGGGCCCTCCAGGGCCATCCTACAACTACAACCAGTGGAAACACTACGACAAATGAAGAAGCGGCACCATGGAAGGATGAACAAGGTTTCATCCATTTAGGTGGACAGCCAACTCCTCCACAAGCTGTAGTTATATCAGCACCACAAGAAATGGCGCTTTCTCGCCTAAAGCTGTCGGTGAATTCGAATTATAACCAAACAGATAAACACTTCAGTCATATGAACGAATCACTGGATACTGTCTACAGAGCAAACTTATACGAGCATCTGGCAAAATCTCTCTCTACATATGAAGGAGATGAAGACAAAAAGAAACAGTACTGTGATTACAGTGGAGTGGAGATGACATGAAGGGTCCCGACAATATTCATTAGAGGCCATACACCCATTTGCTGTAGCAGCAAATGGGTTAGCGATATATCACATCCCGCCAAATATCCTTACTTGCACGTATTCCCTCAACATGGGCAAAGGCCAATGGCTGGTCATCGTGCTCCCATTGATGGCAGAGGCAGCCCGCATACACAATGACAGGGCCGTTATCAATTTCGACACGCTCAAGAAGAGGTGGAGATGGGTGTACGACAGGCTGACCAATGCTATGGTCCTGACGAAGGCCTTCAAGATGAAAAGGTCACATGATGGCATTTTCGCGGAGGTCAACACCTGGAGCCCTGAGAAGTAGGGGTAGTTCCTTGATGGGGAATACCTCCCAGTCGTTAGAGAATAAGTTATGGCCAAGTCACAAGAGGAGCTATTCAGCTACCGGGCGTCCAACTGGACGAGACAGGAAAATGTCAACTGGGCCAGAGTGTACCGGAAGCTCCAGCGAACTGCAGCCATACATGGCGGACTCTCGGAGACGGAATTCAGAACCTACCTTAATCGTCTACCGCGGTAAGCGTATATTCTTCCCGTACCATGTACTTTGCCGATCCCAAGATCTGGAGGTGGGTTGGAGTTGGGACATTATCTACTCCATTTGTTGTCATATGGCAGAAACAACAACAAAAGCCTGCAACAGGAACGCCGTAAAGGCTGGGCTCGGCGAAAATCTCGACGGCTTCAAGGTTATTTATGTATGGACTTGCGGCCAAGATGAGTCAACGTATCAAAGAGGTCAAGCTCCAGTGGCCAAATGCCAGCGAGGAAGAAATCGCGTTCCGGACGACGGAATGTTTCGGGTTTCCGTTGGTCCCATTCCTGGGCCGCCATCCATTGGCAACATCGATTGGCCACCTAGTCCACGGAACAGCGATGTACTATGGCTTTACGAATGGAGATGAGGAGTTTGAACCTGAGCGATATAGTAGACGGCTGGGAAGGTCCCAAATTTTGGGGCACGTACTCGGGGCGGACAATAAAATGGAGGGAGGGTTCTTGTACTTCCTAACTGGGCGTCAGAATAACAGCAAAGGTGTTTTAATACCAGCTTTTCGATGCAGGCCACGATATTGATAGATAATAGTCAATGATAATAACAATAATAAATCATTGAGTAATTATTAGAGAATATTATCTGCTTACTATTACACAATAGGAAGCGTTATTACGTGACTGACTGCCACAATAATTCTGTCGAGGTGACTTTGCAGACCCTGTTTTCCTAACAGCCACTTGCTTCCGTCAAGCAAGTCGAGCAACGTCGAAATTGCGAGTTAAGTAAGGGTTCCATGTTTACAATGCCCCAGCACCAAGGTGGCCGCTTCGTAGATGCCACAGGTGCTCGGAATACCCTTAGGCAATTGACTCATCTTGTGATGGATCCTACTGATGCCTAGAGTCGAAGATTATAGAGACGCGTTGTGTCACTGTTATAGTAGTTGTGCGTGGTAGGAGAGATACAGGTGGCAGGAGGCGGATTTGCAAGGAGGTCTGCATTCTCATGTCGTACTTACTATATGATGAAGAAGAAAATAGAAAAACAAAATGTGCTACGGATTATGGAGTCACCGTGAGACTTGTGAGAATAGCTACTAGCACTCGGTGGTGTTGTGTATAGAAGGCGATTCAACATCGGCCAGACTTGATGAATTGATAGACAGACGTGGGAGATCATGTCTCATTGGTTCTAAATAACAAAAATATACCCTTTCTGGAGTTCGCTAGGTCGCCTCAGGCTCACTATCCTCGATGAAAAGTCTCTGGGTTTCCCCAGGATCTTCTTCTCGAATAGTCGCTGGGTTTCCCCAGGATTATCTCCTGTGATCGCTGAGTTTCCCCAGAATTACCTCCTCCCTCCTCCATCATCCTCCTCCCTCCTCTCTCATTCTCCATTACGGCTCTCTAGCCTTGTCCAGCGCTTCTTTCACCCGCTTTTGCACGATATTACCGTGGTAATTCTTCTTCATGCGGTCGTCTTGGAAGAAAGGGAGATCCTATGAATGTATTAGCTCTATGTTTCCTATCATGCAATGCTGGAATCAGAATTTCTGGGGATACATACCGCGATCCACTCGGGCTCGACATGCGTGACTTTTGTCATGTAGGTGTTGCTTCGAGCCCGATTCAGAGTGTCGTACATGACCCAGGGGTGCCCCCCAGTGTTGAGCATACTGTCCTGAGATGCGATTACCTCAAAATTGCCGTGGATTGTGCGATATCGCACTTCTCCGCCAGAGGAAGGGATCCGAAACGCGATGTTCCGGAAGAAGGTTCGCGCGAGGATCCTCCGGATGTTCTCTCTGTCTTGGCTATTGAGAGCCACTGGAGCCTCGTCAAACCGGATTTGCATCGTTTCAACGGCGGAGTTACGCTGTAGGAGGATCTTCCCCATCACCAAACGATTCAAGAATCGACGGTTACACCATTGATCAAGTTCACGGTCGTCTGGTAGCTTGGGCTCCTCGGTTTCGAATGCGTACAGAGCATTTAGCTCGGTGATGAGATCGGACATTGGGTCTGCGAACTCGGCCCTAGACGCAAGGGATGATGCCATAAATCTCGCTGGTGCAGCTGCAAAGATGGAATGCATTGAACTGCAAATTGTAGCAATGGCCACAATGTGTTGGGCGAGGTGAGGATACTTCACCTTGGCAACATCGATGGCGTAGGTCCAATTGGGCTCAAATGGGTTCTGAGCAGCACGCTTGCCAGCATTGGTAACCTGAAACTGGTCATTTATATAACCACTATAACTTGTTAGCCTTGTTTGTACATAGAGATCAAAGATATCTGGTGAACGTCTTACAGATCAAGGAGTAGTTCGTTGGCATATGCCAGGTTCTCGAAGGGAGGGAGATCGATAAACGGCAGAGTCGCGGCTGCAAAGCCGAAGGCCAATGCTTTTAGATAGACCGCGCTAACATCGTCTCGGGCAATCTCAACATCTGGTTCATCACGCAGATTCCTCTCGAAATCTTGTTCCGTATACATCCGAAAGCAGACTCCTGGCCGGGTTCGGCCGCATCGCCCTGCGCGTTGATTGGCACTTGCCTTCGAGATAGGGCGTGGGCGAACCTCGAAAGCGCCGATCCGGGGCATCAAGCGCTTCACCTTTTCTATCCCAGTGTCAATGACATAGACGATGTCCGGGATGGTGATACTCGTCTCTGCGATATTCGTTGAAACTATGCATTGACGGCGCTCAGTGGACGAGCGAAAGATTGCGTTTTGAGCAGCCCCTGACTGTGCCGAGTAAAGAGAAATGACGTCTACTTCTCCGATGCTCTTCCGGATTCTTTGGCATGCCATCTCAACTTCAATGACGCCAGGCATGAATACCAAAATATTGCCTGTTGGAAACTGATTTCGGACGATTTTAGCCACGATTCGGCAGGCCTCCTCCACAATATGGCCAATATTGGGCTCCGGATCAGACTGCTGGTGGGGTTGGGATGATGTATGTCGTGGAGTTTCCCCCAGGTAGAGAAGATCGACTTTGTGCGTTATGCCTGGCATGTGAATTTGTGCCACTTGTGCGTCGTCTTTGAAGTAATCGACAAATTTGTTGACACTTATCGTGGCCGACATGACGATGACCTTGAGTTTGGATCTCGAATTTACTCGAGCTTTGACAGCTCGTCGCACCAGTGCCATCAGAATGTAGATATTGTTGTTGCATTCGTGGGCCTCGTCAATGAATACTGTGTGGTATTCACTGAAATTTCGATCGTTGAAGGCCTGGGCAACCATCGATCCATCGGTCATGTAACTAGACGGCAAGCCTGTTGTTAGCTAAGATCGGATAAAGCTTGAGACTGATCATCATCGACATACATGAGCTGGGTTTCCTCGGATATCTTGTGATCGTCACGGATTTTGAACCCAACCTGGGCACCTAGTTCACATCCTGCCTCCTGGGCGACTCGTTCGGCTACCTTGACTGCAGCCAAACGTCGAGGCTGAGTACAGGCAATTCGGCCACGGATGTTCATTTCTTGGGCTTTGTAGGCCACAAACTGCGGGATCTGTGTTGTCTTTCCAGATCCAGTTCCGCCGGAAACGATGAGAACATCGTTTTTCGTAAATTCATCCCAAAAATCGTTAAGATTACGAGTGACAGGGAGCTGCTCTCGTTCGCCCTTCAACTTTTGGAAGCTGGGTAGAGGCTGGTCGAGCCCAAAGGTGTTGAAATGGGAAGAATCGTAGGAGTCCATCGTAAAACTTGTTGGATTCTTCGTTTTGATGTTGTTTTTTTGAAAGGATTTGCGTCTTGGTTGATTTTTGAATGGTAGAAAGTGCGGTTGTTGCTTTGGCGTTGACTGTTGTTGTTTTGAACGTGTGGGTGGAGGGGGCTGAAGGAAAGGTGAGAGAAAGGTGAAAACCGTTATCACTTTCTGCCAACAATGATAACAGACCTCATAAAAGGTAGGTATGTACTTATGGCACACCCAGAACCTCTAGTATTGAATTTCAACATAATATCAAAATAATAAACCTAGCAATAAACACAATATCAAGCTAAATATTGTAGAATAATCCATTATTCTCTTATTGTTGTGTTTAGTATTACCTATTCATAAGAAGGGTAGGGTCCTGCTTTGTGTGAAAAGGGCATTAGTGTGCTATGTTTTATTTCAGCCACTTGGTAACCACTCACTTAGGCAAATACAAACACGCATCTGCCGCATTCAAGAAACTTGCAAACTACATCACCATCCCTTCAGCAAACCGAAATCGCCACCTTTTCAACGAAAACAGCCTTCCACGCGTCTCTCTCAACCAGATTCAATCGTCAGTAAGTAAATTTTCGATTGCCTATCCTTTGGATTATTCAAAATCCTTTCTTGTCGCGTTGCTCCTCGTCTTAGCTTGTTCTTTTGCCCTAACATTCAATCTGCAGAGATGACTCTCTTCCACGTCGACGCCTCGGACCCGGGGCCATTCGAAGACGACCTGAAACAAGCCATCCAACGCGGTAGCATGGTCATGCTCACAGGCGTTAACTGGGCCGGCCAAAAATCTTGGGTCGAGTCCGCACTGAAAAATGCAGGCTTCCCATCCGCCACTGTGTTTTGGCCGACATCTGGTGCCTCGATTCTAGGAGTAGACTTCTGGGAACACGATATTGCCATAAAGGCCATCGCTTATTTCAATGAACGTAATATCGATGGGATTAAACTCACTCCCGAGTTCCATCAGGATGTGTGTACCTCCTTTCGCAACTACCACCTGCTCACGCTGACCAATTTGCAGACACCACCCGAGTATGCCCAAAAACTAGCAAAAGCCAGCGACTCTCTCCCAACCACCCGCGAAACCCAAACCCTGTCCCGCGCCCAGCGTCAAGCTCTCCGGTTTGGCAGGGCGAAGCAGCCCGAGTCGAACCCCGAGTGGCCCGAGTCATGGGCGTACAACCCCCTCGACCCAACAGCGCACCATGTCAACATGATGAGGGACAGAGAGGCCGACGAAAGGCGTCACCCTGGGGGAACTGTTTTCAACAAGGAGGGCCCAACGACCCAGTTCTATGCCAGGCAGTTTTCGCCCAACGATGACAATGTTGAAGTCGCATTCACCAAGCCGACAAGCGATGGGGGCGACACCACATTGATCAAATTCGTTGAACTCGGCAGCGAGGAGGAGGCCACAGCTTGGGCCGAAGGATACACCCCCTTTGTCGTTGGTGAACTGCCTATCAAGTTTGATGACAAAATGAGGGACCCCCGGAGATGTGAAGTGCCCATGGACGTCCTCACTCCCGAAGCTCCGCATGAGGACATCGGGAGGTTCTTCCCACGAGCCATCGAGATGTATTCCCGGCAGTTTGGCGGCATGCCTAGCCCGTATGGGCTTGTCAAAATCGAAGGGCAGAAACTAGTGCCAACCCCAGATCAGGCGAAAGCCTGCGTCTCGTTCTATAAACCGGAGAACGAGAGCGACCCAAAGTATCTGGACAATGCCGAGGCCCCCAAACGCAAGTTGGTTGTCACATCTCGAGGCTTCGTGATCCCGTACCCACGCGGCTCTTTGAACGGGGTAGGCTGGGGCGAATTCGACAAGTTCACCGAGTGGCAACTGCAAGGTCGCAAGATTGAAGTTGATATGCTGGACAAGGATTTGGTTTTTGAAAAGAGAAACACCCGCCCTCTTTGCTTTGTCTCGCCGGCTGGTGGACCGCAGCGGGAGCCTATTGTGGTTACCGAGACCCTTGGTGATGCTGAAGAGGTTTATGAGCTAGGGCAGGACGGTGAGCAAAAGAAGACTCTATCAGAGTTACTCACTAGCAAGAGAAAGAGAAACGAGATTCGGGGGGAGATATATGGACGTGGCCTTGCTCGTCGTCGCGGTGGTCGCGGTGGTCGTGGCGGACAAGGAAATGGATGGCCTTAAGTTGGGCTTCGGGCGAAAGGCCGTGACATTTTTGGGAGATGGACAGCTTGAATGATGGATTGGGGTGCGAAGGGCGAAGGCCTGCGAGTAGATTAGAAGGGGGGGAGGATTCTCCTGGGGAAACCCAGCGATAGTAGATAGGGAAGGTGATGGTCCTAGGGAGATATAACCCAGCTTCGAGGACGTTTACCTTATCGTTACTTATTACTAGAAGTAGGTGATAAGGCACGAACTTTTATGTCTGCATATTAATTCATCAATTCTGGCCGAAGTCAAATCGCCATCCATCGCTACATGTACCATCCTACGGCATAGATCAACCAAGAACTTGCACTGATATTCGTACAATCAGGAGGTAAAACAGGCATCGGGAGCCGACTCGGCTCCGTCTGTGAGGCAATGATAACCGTCATCCACATCGCGATCCCTCTGTGGAGGAGGGCTCGGTTCGGCACGTTCGGTTCGGTCAGTCGATTTTGGGTGTCTGCCAACCAGACAGCTTTGTAGACATACCGTCTCTGAGCAACAGAGCCCCTCGTAGAAAAAAAAGCATGAATATGATCACAAATAAAAACAGAGAATTTCTTAGAAGACCTATGATGTCTTGTTTCTTGTTGCTAGGTACTATCACTGCCAAGTACAATACCACAGTTCCTCACCCATTAGTCCAGGTGATTGATGCCCTGCCTCGCCTCCTTTTCTGCGATATACGCCCTCCACCTGGGGTTGATCCAGTACACAGGGATGCCCAAGAGGAAAATAGCACCAAAGATACCAGCAAGCACGCCAAAAGCCCACTCATAGCCGTGCTTCTCGACCATCGGGGTCAACCCGTACGTGACACCAAACGAGATGACGTTCTTCGTGCCGACAACGACCACCAACGCGGGGCCAGGGTGCTTCGGTGCGGCCTCGGAACCAAAGGTTGTTGAGATGATGAGCACCGCGGTGAAGGAGTACTGGAAGAAGGTCCAGCCCAGATACGGCCCCCACCAGGTCGAGCCACCACCCGCTGTGAAGCCGTAGAGGAGGAGCATACCGATTCCGATGACGGCGGGGGGGATTAGTGTGATGAGGTGGTCCTCGGGCTTGTGGACTCCCTTGTTGCGCCGCGCAAACCAGAGCACAAATCGGTTCCCGAGAAGGCTGCAGTAGAGCATACCAAGAAACGCGCCGATGATGCCTCCGATGTTGATGAGCCCGATGTCCTTGGCCTGCCAATGGTAGTTTTGCATGAGGACCGCATTGTAAGTCAACGACATGCCGACGCCACATCCAAGCGTGATTGAAGAAGTGAGCACTGCGTACAAGATACCCGGAGAGGTCAGGCTTTGAGCCATGTGAAGCCAGCTCAGAAGGATGACCTGCAGGGGCCTCGGCTGCACTGGGGAAAACAGGCTGAGCTTCTGAATGTAAGACTTGCGAATGATGGCCGTTGCCGAGTTGTCTTCATTGACACTCATCTTTGGAAGGTCTCTCCCTTCGTTCTGGACTCGTTCCAAGTAGTCCTGGGCCTCGGAGTCCGGGATGATGCGCGTGACGCCAAACTCGTCGGTGAAGACAAGCTGGCCATCAAGGCTGGCGGCTGGACGCGAAAATTGCGTCTCAAAGGCGAAGAAGTAGGCAATCACCAGGCCGACGGCTACAGTGATGACGAACACCCAGTAGTACCAGCGCCAACCGAGACTGGCGTTGATGTACGAGGAGGCAAGGTTTATCGTGGAGCTCAAAACGTTCTGGGTCATCCAGTAAAGGCCAAAGATGATGGGACGCTCGTGAAGGAACGTAATCTCCGTTAGCATAAGAGGAAGGAGCGATTCCGACGCGCCGGTTGAAATGCCTTGGATGATACGGGCGGCGAGGTGGCCCTCGTAACTGTTCTGGACAGCAGCGGCAATGATCGAGGAGAGAAGTATGACCATGGAGGCTATAAACACGGGTCGGCGACCGAAGGCGAGGGCTAAAGGGAGGATGATGTAGCTTCCTGCAAAAAAGTTAGTTTTGAAGCCTTGCAACCCTGATCTGGTACGCACCTAAACCGATACACAGTGTTGGCAAGCTGATCAACAGGACGACTTGATCGGAGCTGTACCCCTGTGGTAGATACATCTCGAACATGACATTGAGAATTGCGCCTAGTCCGCTCGCGAGTGACAAGCCCATGATAGAAAACCAGATACAACAAACGACGACGCCATATTTCTCCCAAGGTCGGAAATTGAGAGGGTCGTTCGGGTCAGACGACGGTACGGGAATCTTGCGGACAGCCCCGCGTTTGTCCACCAAGAGGGCATTGCCTTCTACATGGTCGTGTTTGCTTGATTGGTGTTGCTGCTGCTGGGCCTCGAGATGCTCGACGCGGGTGGCCTGTTCACCACTATCCTTTTGCCTGGAAGGGGAGGTCGCTATCTGCTGCTGATCCATCTTTTACTCAGACCAAAGGATTTCGTGTGTGGTGGTCGGTCATAGTGTTGAAATTCGAGGATGCGACCCAGGGTTGGATGAATATATAGAGACGCCGTCATGGGAAGCCTTCGCCATCGGTATCTTGCATAAGCTAAAGTTCCCCCTCGGGATCCGTATGATTGTTATCGCGGAATGAGATGGGGTTGGGTGGCTGCTCGGCGATGTTGATCTTCGGTTCGGCTCGGGATGTCACTCCACTTCCCCGCAAACAGCTGCAACCAATGATTGAGCACAAAGCATCCGTATAAAGTCACGGGAAAAGATGAAGACATCCTAGTCATTTGATTGCTATAATTCGAGATGGAAAGTGAGCCTTTGCGTGGATTTAGAAAGGAGCGCTCACTTTTTGGTTTGTAGATAAAAGACATTCCACTGATGAATAATCCTAATAGTTAGTAAATAAGGAATGACAATATATGTTATTGCTATGCTATTGCTATGATATTCTTGAGTTATTGTATATCTTGTTTTGATATTGTGTCGGAACACGCCATCAGTGTTATTATGACTTGACTCTATTTGGGAGAATCCTCTACGTGAAGCATAGGCTTGCACACATTTTTCAGACTCAATTAAACAGGGCGGCCCAGGAATAAGACCAACGGAAACCTGAAACATTCCATAGTCCGGAACGCGATTTCTTCCTCGCTGACATTTGGCCACTGGAGCTTGACCTCTTTAATACATTGGCTCATCTTGGCCGTAAATCTATACATAACCTTGAAGCCGTCGAGATTTTCACCGAGCCCAGCCTTCACAGCGTTCCTATTGCAGGCTTTTGTTGTTGTTTCTGCCATACGAGATGTGGGAGGCGGCGAAGCAGTAAAGTACCAACTATAGGAAGTGTAAGTCAAAGGACCGCTGCTATCATCGCCGTTTTCCTCATCCTCATCATCGCCGTTGTCACCGACATCACGACCACATCACACATCGCCACAACAAACGCTTCGCAAGGGATAGAAGGCTTGAAGCAGCTGCTCGCAAGAAGAATTCATTAATTCAGAGGTTCGAAATAGCAAAACTACAGGCAGCACTCTATAGGAGGGCGTCCTCAGACCAGCGCACAAGTGCGCCAGCAACCCTTGACCCTTTCCCGTCCTCTACGGCTATGCTAGCTGTAGGCATCCCTTTTAGAGCTAAAGGTTCCCGTGAGGGGTTTAAACCTTGACCCTCGGCCTGTTCGTGACCTAATAGGGCTTATGGTGGCCAACATATAGTTGCTGGCGATACTACCGCCCTATGAGCCGCCTATGGTGCTTCCATGCACCAATTGCCCATTCTCAAAAAAGCCGTGTCCTCACAACTACTCGCACCATCTAGCCATGGCGGTTCACGAACTAGCTTTGTCCAGCCGATGCATTTTGCCGCATCATCGCCATTTGGCTCGACATCGAGTTTACCAGCAGTTGTAAGTTCGCCCTCTTTGCATGCAGGCTAGCGAGCTCTCGGTTCGCCTTGACGATATCGCGGTCGGTCTGTTCCAGGTCCGCGGTATGGCGACTAATCGCTTCTGCGAGTGCTCCTTCGTAATCGCGCGATGGTCTAACAAGCCCCAAGCCGGTAGAGGTTTGCGGGAAAACTGCCTGGGTAGGCGGATAAACGGGCGTCTGATAGAAATCGCCCATTACTGGGAATTGATGGGCAGCCGCCGCTGTCGGGAAAGCAAACTGCTGGTGGGAATGAGTCTCCGCAGGCCGAGATTGTGTGAACAGATCCGGTTTCGCATGATCCTTCTCATACCGAGACGACTTCCTGCGATAATCGTCATCAGCAGGCGACCTCTCACGGGTCTTGGGGTCCTGTTGCCGTTGCAGCTTTTTCCTGTTTTCCGTAATACCAATTAATGCCTCCGTCTCATCTTTGATATGCGCGTAGTCGAAAAGCGTGGGGTCCAACCCTTCTGACGCAATAAACGCATAGACGGTTCCATTGTTCTTGGTCGCTGCCTCCGCCATCTTTGCCCAAGTGAATCCTGTGTCCAGAAAAGGTTCACCCGGTCTCGGCTTATGCCTACCCGCAGGGAAGATGTAAAAACCGTGTTCATCCATCCTTGCACCATCTCCATCCGTGCCTCGTCGGTCCAGTGGTTTGTCGCCCGATTTCTGGAATAACGTGTTCGACTTGCTAGTGGGTTTGGTCTTCACAGAGGATGGTTTGCCCTTTGCCGTGGGCGACTGCCTATATTTCTTTCTCGGCGAGACCCCTCCATCAGCGTGGTCCTCACCCTTCTCGCTCTTATCACTCTCCTCGCTCTCATCACTCTCCTCGCTCTCATCACTCTTCTCGCTCTCATCACTCTCCTCGCTCTCATCACTCTCCTCGCTCTCATCACTCTCCTCGCCCTCATCATCACTCTCAATATCATTTCCACCCTCCAGTTCCCTCTGCACCTTTTCCGAGAACTTGTACCTGGGCTGCCCTGTCCACTTACCCCTCAAGAGCAACGGCAAGTGGTACACACTAGTCCACTCGCCGGTTGGCGTAATCAGGAAGCATTCCAATCGCACCTCAGGTGGTTTCACTCGAGAGATCGCTTGGGGAACCAGATAAGCAGGATACGGCGACCGGTAGGCCTTGGCGAGCGTCTCAAGGTGACTCGCATACAAACGCCTGGTGTTCGGGACCATTCCAGGAAAGATGCAGTCAATCAGCCACAGCGTGACCTTGTCCGTCCCCTTTGCTCGTCGTATAACTTTGTTCTGAGTCGGTTGGGCTGCCCCAGCCGAAGTCGGTAAAAACGCCCATTTCAGCAATTCAGCTTTCGCCTTCTTCTGATCATCCCCCGTCATATACCGTGCCGTCTTGTAGTATATGAGAATGCTTGCTCTCGCGCATTGTAGTTCATCGTCACTCAAGTCTTCGCCAAAGTCTGAGATTCTCAGTCCCGCACCTTCGCTTGTCTCCCGCATCGCGCCTGCAGAATGCTCGAAAATGGCGTGCCGCCGCGTTGCCGATCGATGGCGTATGCCAAAAGGTGGTACAGTCGGTGGTTCGAGGTAGTCGCACATACGATGCCGAGTTAATTGCCCTGAAATACGAGCAACGGGGTCATGTCTTTGTGGCGTGTCGAACAAGTTGCCACGTCCGACAACTCCGAAAAACGATAGAATGCCTCACAGATTGTCAGACGTAGCCGATGGTGAGATAACCGCTCTGTATGATGGTTTAAGCGTACTCGAGGCGGTTGTCAGATACCGACTCCGAATGATGGATCAAGCGTAATCAAGAAGCCGGTGCATCAACCACATGAAAATGCCACGAAGGTAAATCCGCTAGCCAGCGAAAAGCTGATGAGCCGTGATTAGGTGGGGTGTGGTAGAGGAAGAAAATAAAATCTTCAACATAGAAAAGAAAACAAACATAGCCCCCACACACAAGAAAGAGTAAACGCGTGGGGTGAGCCCAAGGTGAGGATACAATGAAAACAAACCGAGCCTTCGCCCCCCCCAAATAAAACTGAGCCTAAGCACACGCTTCAGTAACTCCTTTCCGCTCGCGGTCTCCATACACCACCCCTCTTGTATGGCCTTTTGCAGTTTAATACACATATGTCGTCTTTGTTAAAGTATACCGAGTTTTGTGGCCCGTTGTATCTCATCTTTATCTCCGCCTTACCGAAGTCGACTGCGTGCTTTGCATCTTCTGGGTATAATATTCTGGCAGCAGCGAGTCGCGGGCCTTCGTCCAGATTGCTATTCCGTCATAATCTCTTGACGTTATTCGAAAGGTCGAGTCGCGGGCTTTCACCCGGATCCCCGCCGCATTCCGTTTGTGTTGTTGGAAAGTTCGAGTCGCGGGCTTTCGCCCGGATCACCCTAGTATATTAATCTCCGCCATCGGAACGCCATTCGATATTTTAACTCCTCGACAGAGGCGTCCGGTTCTTCGCTTTGAAAGCTTTGCATATCGTTCTATGTTGGCGCAACCCCTTGCTCTTCAATGCCGAGATGGCATTGGCATCAAGCTCATCCTGAGGCACACGCCCAAGAATATCTTGGCCGAAGTTAAATAACGCTGTGATCTGCTCTGTGGATGGATTATCTAGCTCAGTTTGATTAAATTAATCAACCTGGGGGATAATGATAGCCTTCGCAAAGCCAGCGAGCTTTGGATTACTTGTACTGATCTTTAGCCTTGTTATATTAGACTATAAGATCCTCTTGCCCTTTAGAGAAGGCGCTAGGATCTGGTCATTTGATATGATCGAAGGCTGTGGATGTGTCAGTGTAAGTGCTCTAGCCAAGGGGCTAGTGGTACTCACTGGGTTGGTTGCTGAAAAGCCTCGAGCTTGGTGTGTTGAAGTGCTTGGATTAGATAGAAGATGAGTGTATAAAGGAAGCTAGGTGAAGGTAGCTTCAATAGTCATTCGATGAGCCGCTCATCCTGATGGTAAGTGAGTCATCGGCATAAAGGTTTGTAGACTTTTCTTTCCGTATGACTATAGCCTTAGGCTAGTAAAGGCTTTTTTTTAGGGTTTTATATTCATTGTGTTGAGTTGTCGGGCTCTGGCAGCTTCCATTGCTGTTGAACTTTATTCTCTTTCTCTTAGGTATGAAAGGAAGAAAGAGCCATAGATGAGCTCATGTGAAATCAGGCCAACACAAAATGTCTTGCCACGGCCCCTCATTGGACTTTTTTCAGAGTTCCCCAGGAGAGTTTACAGTAGCCAGATGGCCAATAATTTCCCTAACATTGCTAAAATGACTGCTTCTGGCGGACTGGGTGTCCTAGTATGAAGGATAGATTTTGAGATCCGCTCTTGAGCCTTGCTGAACAGCGTTCTTTGACGCGCGTATGACGGATTTTCGACTAATTGGTCTAGAGCTAGGATGAATGGCACATTTAGCTATGTCATTGAAATCTATGCGACCAAAGCTTTTCCAATAGGGACTCCTATGGACATTAGAAAACCACGTTTAATTTACATCAACAAGGGGAAAATTTTGCCGAGTAATAGCGACATTACGAAATTTAGATTGAGAAGATGGATTTGGCTACCTAGAAAAACGGAATCTCTGATCTCCATTGCAGTACTTTCTCGAGAGCGTGACTGAAAGCCATCATCTGTCAACTCGATTCGTAGAGGCTTCACCTACCCGTCTCTTGTTGAGACGAGTGATCGGTGCGGACATGGCCTCTCTTTCCTCCATTATCGATATATGGATGGAAGCGTGCAAGATCTCTGATCTTGTCAATGAGGATATACATACTGGCAAACACCCGGTAGGGGTGTGTACGACTAATATATAAGATGCTGGGTCACCAAACCGGATAACAGCCGCATCTCTGTGATTATGGAGGATTGCCTACACATTGCGTCCTCCTCCAAGTTGGCTATTTGGGAATGCAGGTCTATGAAGTATGCTATAACATTACAAGAGGGCGTCGCTTGTTTCGATAGTGTAAAAAAGGTGCCTTCTTGCGACATCACAATCAATTCCCCAGATTTGGAACTTCGTGCGTTGAACCTTGCAAAGGAGGGCAAAAAAATTGGCTTATTTCGATGTACCTGGGACTCGAACCCAGAACCTTAAGCTCACTTAATAGGAGGCTTACGCGCTACCTTTTCATCTTGTTAGTGACAAGACTAGTGGGGTTTTATTCTCTGGAGAACAAGCTTACCATTGCGCCAGCACACCACATCGGTGTTGTCTGAGGGAATTTTAATATGTTATATAAGCACTCACCCAAATCACGAATCTAACAACCGCTCGAGGTCGAATCACCCCAGCCCAGAAGATTGACCAGAGCAACGCCAGCATCATGTTGCCTTGATTCACCCTGAGCTTGACACGAAGTAATTTGGCACTTCCCTTGAGCAATTCCATCAGAGATACTTGCCAGCACGGGCATCAAAACCGCCCGCGTAGACTCTGGCACATGTCGAAAAACAACACAACAAGCAACAAATAATATAGTGCTCTCTACGTGCAATAGAATTCCACTCCCTGATGATACAATGAACTGTTTTTTCAACCCAATAATCACATACCAAACGATATCTAGACGAATAAATCAATTCGATCACCCTACTTCAAGGCCAAATGTTCATACTGCAGCCATGACTTGAGATTGCAACCGCCCACAGACCACCTGGCTAGCCGTGATAAACTTTTCTGGGATATCATGGTATTCCCGTCCAGCCTTCTTTCCTTGACATAATTCGGGAAAGGTTGATTGACATGAATCCATCCAAGGTTTGCCGTCTTGTTACCAGCCAGATGAGCGATAGAGATAGTGGCAAATTCGCTCAACCTTTGTATGCCGAGGACAGCCGCACTCGACTAAATTTGCCTAGCATTCCAGCAGTTTGAACCAGTTACTTCCAACGCCATCTTTATCCCACGGCCTAGTTCGCTCAACACCCCAAGAGACGATGTTTCTTAGCCTAATAAATTCCCCGCCAAGTACCAAGTAAAGACGACGGTCTTCACAATGGAGCGCATCCTACCACTACCTAAGATTATTCGGAGAGCCCTCATTTCACTCTTTTATCCTCACCCACAGGGACAAACATCCATCGATCAAAACGTCATCCAATGACTCACGTCATTGATTACTAATTATAGCGACAATAATATATGAATAATAGGTGAACAAGAGTTTGTGGCAATTATTATCACCGTGGTAGCGTTTAAATCGAAATTTTCGTCCCTTAGAACTCCTGAGCCTCTTGAGGCTTTCAAAGGTAGAAGTAGATACATCTAAGGAAGTAAGAAAGTTAGAAATATAAAAGATTACTGAGATTACAATCTTACCTCTAACATAGAGGGCATCACCCTGGATTTCACTGGTGATTAGTCAGAGCTTGAGGCGTGGTGAACCAAATGGCTTGGGGCTCATCCTGCGCGATAGATATCGTTGTGGGATTGGTATCTATTGACATTGTAGCTGGTGAGGCAGGAGACCCTTGGTGGTGGTAGGTGATAGGTTCCATACTTGTGGGCAGTGGGGGATGGCCAGTTCACTCATGACATGGGAAATACGAATAACGGAATTTTTCACCTCAAAGTAGGGCAACAGCAGTCTTTTACCTCTCTAACATAAATGTCTTCGAGCTAGTTAACTAATTTAATCATTCCCAAGCTCTTGGGTTAGGTAAAAATGTATGCCACCTACATTAGACAGAAATATTTGACACTTAGGCAACAGTCAAGTTTCCACTGGCGGATCACCCGCGTTCCAACAAATATTCTATCTAGTCCATCTTACATCTTTACCAACTGAGCAGTGGTAGTATATTTGACATTACCGGCCATCGAATTTCACTTTGATCGGAGGACCAGGGGTGCCCTCCCTCTGACAGAACCTGGAAATCAGATTAGAACTGAGACAACGCGAAGATTGAACAGGCTCCAACTTACATAATCTTCAGGGACGCTTTGTCGTAATGCAGATCCCCCTCCTTCGTAATGAACTTGCAAGAGAGCTTTCTGCGGCAATTTACGTGCTTGGGACAGTGATGGCTGAGGATACAATCGGAATCCTCGCACTTCACCCCGTTGTAGCAAAGAGAGCTACGGGCCCTCTCCCTATGGACCAGGATCTCCTCTTCTGTGAGATCCACGCTGTGCACCTTTTCGCATTCCTCTGCCCAGCGACATTGGCCATTCAAATACCACGCGTTGCAGAAGACCTTTTGTTTCGTTTCGCGGGCCTTCATTGCAGCAAGCTTCCCCATGTATGAATCCCTGGCCTGCTGGCTGGGTTCGTCCAGGTCGGGGTCTAGTCGAGCTCCATTCTTGTTGAAGTAGACGTATTTCCCGGACCTTGCTGGCGGGAGGATGGCGGGGGGAAAGCCATCGCCGCTTGCTGATGATGCGTGGCTCGGTGGGACCCTGATGCGAAATACCTGCTTGACAGGCACGGCCACATCCAGGATTGGAGACCCGACCATCGTCGAGGGGCTTGGGGGGCAAGCCGGGTCCTCTTTTGGCAGAATCTCCCGATCGCTGGCTCGATTCGAACTGACGAGGCTCGCTGAAACCTTAAAGAAAGGGGTGTCTTCGGTTGGGAGAGGCTCCTTTCTAAAGACATCACCAAAACTGATGATGTCAAAACCGAGCCACTTGATCAAGCGGAGCGCGGGGGTTGTTTCAACCAGGAAGATGCGCTTCTTTGGCTCGTCACGGCTGTTGAGATAGTTCTTGAGATCGTGGCCGTAGCCTCCGTCATGGCAGCCGACAAAGTAGATTCTCTCGCACCGAGGGTCGGTGTAATAATATTTGAGCATTTCTGGAGTTAGAGAAGATTCTAGGTTAGCAGTGTAAATCGAAAGCGACGGATGACCGAGGTTTCTTACTTCTCATCTTGCAATCTGCGTTCTCTTTACCAAAACCGACATTGATAAACTCGAACTCAGCACAGCTATTAGTGAAGTGCTCGAAAAATCTGGAGACCTTCTCCTTGTAGTCAACAATTCCGGATTGGTGAACCGCAGTCGCCAGATTGTCAAGATCGGCATAAATGCGAGCGAAGACGGGCAGATCCTCTTTTTCACCTGTTGACTTGAGATGGTTCTTGATGTTTTCATTCAGCCGCCGGCAAGCCTCGGCAGCACCATGAGCAGGCTTCTCCAGAAACGATTCATGGAAGATGGCACCGTCACCATCAATGAGGAGCGCGACGTAAGAATTGTTTTGCTAGGGACTCTGATTAGTACTTCATGCTGGAGGGGGAAATTTCGGTCGTGGACTCACTACGCCCTGCTGGTACTCGGTAATCTGCTTGCTCAGTATCTCGATCTCTGTCTGGTAACGAGCGCGCGAACTTCTTTCCTCAATCAAATCTAGCTTGAGACGGGCCAAGTCCACGTCATCTTCGTCAATCCTTTTTGCAAGGTCCTAGACATGGCGAGAAGAATTAGTATTGGTAGAGTTAAGTGATAGCTGACAGAGGTTCAGAGGAGTGAGTGGTACCTGGAAGAACTTCTTCCTTTCGTCCTCTTGTTTTAAGAATTTCTGAAGAGAAAGAGACTCCTTCCTTTTCTCGACATACGCACCGTCTCGGGCCTTTGGAGCCATCGCGAGAGATTCAACTCAAAAGATGAGCAGTTTTAGAATTGTGCTTGGAAACCGGTGCCTACAGATTTACTGAGTTAGAGCATCGGTTGTGACGAAGAGTAATGCGATAGATGGAGAATCGGAGAGCTTCTGGGGCAAGAGTGAGCTTGGGGAGGTTCCTTTTATCTCTTCATGTTGCCCACTTCGCTTTATGCACGGCGCGTGTCGCCTCACAATAGCACTAAGTGCAGAGCACCTAAAGGGATGAGACAACAAAGAAAGTTCTTTGTTCGACTCCGCGGACTAGGGCGTGCAAGGATAGTTTACTACCCAAAGCGCTTTGTCAAAGGACAACTGCGGCAGTTCTATCTAGTAGGCACACACACGGTCATTATCCCTCGAGCGGAATTTTGCACTAGCCATTTTATAGCGGATAATGAGAAATTGTTCTGCGTCCTGTCACAAAAGCTTGAGAAGACTAGCATTACTACTCTATGTACACACCCGTTGGTGACACGAAAAAGCGCGTGGCTTGGGCAACCTGGAATCGTCGCGTTCTTTCATCAGGCAAACTCCGAATTCAACCGCCATAAACTGAAGCTTAAATAAATTATGTTGTTGATAGCTAGGGTGGGCATCACTATACGGTGTTCTTGTTGTGCCAGGTCTCTCGCCCCGCATTCACCATCGCCTCACGCAGCGTAATTTCTGTTTAATTGCTTGAACTGTGCAATCATTCGACTCTTCGCTTGAGACCAGAATATTGTCATTGACCGATCGGGCCACTATTCTACAAAATTGTGGCCTTGTCACGCTGTTGAGTAAGCATACGCAGAATATAGCAGTACCTGTAAACAGCTGGATCGGGGAATCTGCAAAAAACTCCGCCTCGTCGGGTTTCAGCAGTAAGTCGGCTTGTGTTCTCTCTTCTCTTCTGTCAGACTTGCCTCCCTATGGTTTTGATATGATCGCGGGTTTGGAGCAAACTTGTGTTTACATCTGCCGAGGCTGAATCTTCTCATGCTGAGTCTAGACTCGCATAATAATGTAGATAGACAAATGCGTGGGTGGATGCATCTGCCGAGTACCTCAAGTCAAGCCGGAGGGATTCCTAGAACCAACAGACACTCGTATAGAGGTCACATCCTATCATGCGATCCGATCCGTGGAAGGTAAGAGTATACGATTGAATTAATTTACGACTGTATACTGTGACGTATCCAATAAGTCGGTGCGAATAAACTAATAAAATCTCTTCATGCTTGAACACAAGCTTATCATTGGCGAGACGAGAAGGGGCCAAACAAGGGTGCCAACTCTCAATACAACAGAGCATTCCGTCCTTGTTTGATGTTAGGCCGGGTCACTGACGCACCAATCAGACATATCGGCACCCGCTACTACGTGTTTCAGGTTCTCAACCACGTTGGAGCAAGGGTGTTTGTCTGTCAGCTCAGACTACGGTTGTGGATCTTCCGTTCCAAGATGAGTTTGAATATACGACTGGCGCGAAAAAGCTGGAACGAAACGCCGAAAGCCCATGTCAATACCATTTTGGACGAGGAATTTTCGTATTCACCAATGTAGAACTGATTAGTTAGGAGATTTTGCGACTAATAGACCCAGAAAGCGTCACCACATGTAATAGCCCCATGGTTCGCCTCGATACCCCTGGCCCTGAGCCAGGGAAGGACCCCTTGTATCCGGAGGGCATGTTCCGACAAAATGTTGAGATGATGATGGCTTGGGAGGAAGCGAATAAAATAAGAAGCCTTCCGCGGCCTAAAATGAAGCTTTTTGGAACTCCCAAGACCATCGTCTATCAGATTCCTTGTTTTGTCCTTCGTTCTCATATTGATTCAAGGCTGGTCCTTCATTTTATTCTACCAAAAAACTTACCAATTGCACAACTACTGTACATTACTCATTAAAATTCACACCGACATCATGCGTGCCTTCGCTCTCTCTGCCGCTCTCCTGAGCGGGTTCTTAACCTGCTCTTCCGCACTCTCCGACCTGGATGCATCAGTATGGAAGAATATCGAGTCTAAGGTGGACTCTAGGTCCATCAAACGACTCTCGAACCGTCCTGCCAAGCGCCAGTCCGGATGGAGCCCGCCATCCGAACTCTCGACAGCTCTTACTGAGGTCTGGGATCACTATGAATCCACATACAGTGGTGGCCCATTCGCAGAGACCAACTGGGGATGGCACCAGACCATGAACAACAAGGGGCAAGTATTCAAGGCTCTGAACAATTTTGCGATTGACTAACCTTCCTTAGTTCTCTCAGCATTTGCGTGCGCTGGGACTCGACTGCAAGCGTAACCGAAGCGCAGAGAACCCAGCTTGCAACCAAGTATGCCGAGCAATACGAGAAATGGTTCACCTGGGTGTATGGGTTTGATGGATTCCCTTACTCCGCCATCGACGTCAAGATTGTCGGATGGGCCGTCAAGGATACGAGCCTCCTTCAGGGGTCCACGGATGGCATCACTGTATACACTGAAAAGGATTCCGACGGAGTCCCGATGTGCACTGAAGGCAAATTCGACCAATCGCTTTGGCTCACCGACGGACTCGATGGAGGCTTCGGCTACACTTGGGGTCAGCAAGTAGGCCGTGAATACTTCATGGACAACATTGATTCTGAAAACATCCACATTCTCCTGCACGAGATGGTAAGATGCTCTTGACCAGAGAAGCTATCGATTGACCCGATTTGCTGACGGACTCGATATATGTAGGGCCACACATTCGGCCTTGACGACTGTAAGCTTCTCTCTCCATCTTCGGTATTAAGCTATGGCTAACTTGAGATTCTAGTTTATGGTAGGGAACAACGAAGCCAGACATCTTCCTACCTTCTCAACTAAATTACTGACTCTTCTTAGACTGGACCCCTACTGGCGTTACCAACTTCATCATGCTCGCTGGATCTGCCATGGAGGTGACCGACTTTGATGGTTGGATGTTCCGTAACTGGTGGTATGAACTCGCCCAGAAGAACAGCTGGTCCAGCGGAAGCTCCGATTCGACCGGCACTCCTTCTTCAGCCAGCTCCGCAGTTGCAACCACGCCCGCAGCTACCGCACCCGCCACGACTGCTGCTCCTTCTCCTACCACCACCCCCGGCGGCTCGCCCGCTTCTACCGTCAGGACCAGGACCAGAACCAGAACCAGGACCTCGAATGGAGCTGTCGAGACACCCACCCAGGCTACGCCAGTTATCCCGGCACCTTCCCAGGGAGGCTCCCAGGGCGGCATGGCAGCAAAGAAATGGGGACAATGCGGCGGAATTGGACACTCGGGCTCGACCGAATGTGACGAAGGGCTGAAGTGCGTTCAGCAGAACGAGTACTACTTCCAGTGTTTGTAAGCCTGAGAGATCTACTGCCTTTGGCATTCGTGGACGGATTGTGTTATTAGCACAGCTTAGTAAAAAGATCAATTGATGGTATAATAGGCTACCATTTGCCCAATTCTGTATTGATGCCGCAGATCAAAGAGAGGGCAGTTCAGTAGTAGTACAACCCGTCATCAGTGCCATCCAATTTTCCCTCAGCTTGTAACTTCAGTAAAGCCTCCTTGCTCCTCGCCACCATTGCCTTTCCATATTCCGGGCCCAGCGGCGGCGCTGCCTTCTCCATGTCCTGTCTCACCCAGGGTAATTTAGGCGAGGTGATGGACCTGGAGATTTCGGTGCGTATCAAGAAGATGGTGCTGTCGTCAAATGCCCCTCCGAGTAGGACAGCCCGCGCGCCCGCAGCAACATTGCCTGTCCCGATACTGCTGCTTGGAGACTCGGGAGTCTCCCCTCGGAGAATCAGAGGAACCTCGCTGATGACTGCTCCGGGGTTCATGATGAATTGGACCACTTTGATTTGCCTTGGTCAACATGGCACTCTGGCACATCCGTTTGTCCGACGCGACGGTTGAGAGCCCATACCTTCGAACTCGGGTTTCAACCCTTCAATGACTCCGTGGCCAATCTGCTCTGTTTTCCCGCAGAGGATGATGGGGATGGGGGTTAAGGCTGCCATGACTGGGTAATTCTGATGGCATAAATTCGTCGGGGGGAAGGAAGAGAAGATGGAAATGCGGGCTAGGAGTCTGACTTTGGAGGTAAAATTTAGATCATTGGTTGGGTTGGATGTGGGGAGAATGCATCAAATGTCATGTCAGCAGCTAGCACATTCCATGACGACCCTCAATTTAGCTTCATACCAACTGAAACAATGCAGGGTCTATCTTGTGAGCCTGTCAGCAAAACGTGAATGGCAGATCGCCTGCCGCCTGCATACGGAACATAGCTGTGAATGGTGAGAAATTGAATGAGAGACGCCAATTGCCGGTCCAGATATTACCCCTCAACTACCGATCCACCTGATGGCGGGGTTTTGCAATCCATCCACTGCAGGCTAAAAGATGTGGAGGCTAAACTCTGGAACGATGCTAGTCATCTATCAATTATTAACGAAGGGGTTTGAGGTAAGAAGAAACGCAGAAACCTCATTCTCGAAAGGTTATTGGACGAAGTTTCAGGAATTGAGCTGGGTCTTTAGCGGAATATAACAAACTGAAAGCAATTAACGAAACGTGGAATCTGGTTAACACCGGCGCCTGAGCTCCCAAGAGCTATTGGATATAGTTATAAAGCTAGAAAAAAAAATAGGGATTTTGTTTAACATAGCAGATGTTAAACCTCAAGTTAGTGAGCTGGTAGCAAACTCAACCGCTGACAAATTCTGATTACTGCTATCCTGAACTTGATCTCCGGTCCATCTCGGATGTTAGGGCATAGTCGATCCATCCAACTCACCAAGTTCTATTTTATCCCCGTCTTGTTCCCAGGAAGGGTAGGTTTTGAACTGAATGAATTATTCGAGACCCGTGAAATTGGTGCTGAATGAGACGGCACGTAGAAATATTTTGTTGGGCGGCGTCATAAGATGGACTGGTTGGTGATGTTCAGCCTATTCTACGAATTTGAAAGAGTATGTGTTTGGTGGAAGGCCTAAGGTGCGTCACTAAAAGGGCGTATGACGACTGCTGATGCAGCCCACTCACGATGTTACCCTTCCCTGGCTTTATATCGTCTTCCCCTCCCAGCTTACTTCCAACTGTGCTACTTGCTCAACGTTTAGAACCTCTTTATGACAGGACTCACTTACCAACCGCGCGATGGCAACTAAATACTATATCCGCCAGGGTGGATACTCGGACCTAAAAGCCACAGGTTCTATCTATGAACAGACAATTGGTAGTTCGTCTCTTTTTGAGATTCTTTTCCCCGGCCACCAAGCCGAGCCTGAACCCTTCACGAAGTGGGTAACTCGACTGTTTTGGAAGCGGTACTGGCTGCTTGGCTATTCCCTCAAAGTTCTGGTTGCCACCGACGGAAATGTTGGTTCGAGCCCAAGGCAAGCAAAGGGAAGCGAGAAGCTGGTAGGCTTCACTTGGTGGGTCAGGCCGGTTGAATCGATGTCTTTTTATGAGCGCTGGATCTCCCCAAGTAAGTAATCTGAACCTCTTCAGATTTTTGCATTTATTAAATCAATCGAATGAGTCTGGAACTACATTTACAATGATTGACAAGCTGGAGCTAATATGACTGAGCAAAAGACGCCTGGGCATGCTTTCTAATGAGCACACTCATCAAGTATTTGAACCTATTCTTCCCAGTTGCAGGTCTCGATTTTGGCCCCTTGGCCGCAACCACCCGCATTTTTGATCCGATAACAGATGGGCTTCGCAATACTCCCCGAAGGCGCAGCGCTTGGTTCCTCTCCGCGATATGCGTCGATCCCAAGTATCAGGGCAAAGGACTTGGGAAAATGCTTCTGCTGGATGGCCTAAGTGAGGCTGATCGTGCAGGAGTGGCGACCTGGATCATCGGGCTTGCGGGAGTAGAGGACTTTTACACTCGCCATGGTTTCGTCGAAGCTGGAAGGGTGAATGTCGAGGATTTTGAGGCTTGGGATGGTGGAAGCGTCATGTTCCGGGAATAGACATCAAGTTGAACAGAGGGAGATGGACGTGGACTCTTTGGCGAAGCCTAGAACAACCTGTAATTAATACCTATCCGGGGTTTTGCTAGGCCTAAGCTAATCGGGTTGTGACAATCGAGAGTAGATTGGAAGGGTTCAACATCTGAAGACAGCTCAGGGGCAAGATATGAAATCTCAACACACAATTTGTCTTGAGCTGCCACTATATTCAAAATGGTTCTATTACTGAAGAAATCCAGAAAGAGATAAGAATGCAAGTGTATGACTCGATTTCTAGGCCAAATAGTGCAAACGTAAGAAGAATAGTACTGTATTTGAGGCTCAGCGTAAGCCAGTCTCTTGCTACAATAAAGGTAATAAATCAGGATACGTCATCTGAAGATCTAGTGACAACTAACAGAGTTTTTAATAAACTCTGAACTGATTTATTGAGAATCACGGCTTTATCGGTTCAGGGTCCAATTAAAGCCCACGGACTTGCCTGTGGAGCCCGGATGTAAGCGGCCGCTCTGGTCATGCATGAGGCCGGACTTAAGCTCATCTAGCTTCAAGCTGGGATTTGGAAGGGCCGGAATATACTTCTACTAAGGCAAGAGAAAGGGAAAGAAAAGTATAAAGGTAATTAATGCTGCAGAGATGATATGATCTTGTCTCTCGTCTCATCCTGTTCAACGCATCTACTCAACCAGTTTATTACATCTTCTTCTCTCCATCTTTATCATAAATATTCGAAACATTTAGCTCACTATGTCCAGAGTCTGGTTTGTTACGGCTGCCTCTCGAGGACTTGGCCGCGAGATTGTTGAGGCTGCTTTGGCAGCCGGAGACAACGTCATTGCGACGGCGCGGGATCCTGCCTCACTCGAACACTTCACGAAGAAATATGGATCCGACCGTGTTCACGCTTTTGCCCTGGACGTGACGGACAGTGACCAAGTTTTCAGTGTGGTCAAAGATGCCCACAAGGTCTTTGGACGTATCGACATCGTTGTCAATAACGCTGGATTTGCACAGACATCATCGCTCGAGGACATGGATGTTGAATCTTTCAAACGCCAGGTTGACACCAACTTCTTTGGGACCGTGTGGGTCACCAAAGCAGTGGTTCCCATTATGAGGGAGCAGGGAAGCGGCCACATCATCCAGATATCCTCTGTTGGTGGCAGGTTGGGAACTCCCGGTATGTCAGGGTACCAGAGCGCTAAATGGGCGGTTGGGGGCTTGACCACCGTTTTGGCCAGCGAGGTGGCCCCCTTTGGGATCAAGACAACAGTTCTCGAGCCCGGTGGTATGAAGACTGACTGGGCTGGCTCTTCCATGGAGCATGGTGTTATGAGCGAGCCTTATAAGCAGACCGTCGGCGCCTTTGAGGAGCTCCGAAAATCCTACGAGCCTCACTGGACACCCCCCGAGAAGGTGGCAAATGCCGTCGTTCTTTTGAGCAAGGTTGAAGACCCTCCTCTTCGTCTTCTTGTGTGTCCCGAGACTCCACAGATTGCGAAAACTGCGGCAGCTCAACTGGCGGAATCGGATGCCAAGTGGGAGAACTTTTCTATAAACCTGACGCTTTGAAGCAACCGGGGCAATGCATGCTGATCTTGGTGGGGGCTAGAAGTAGTAAAGCTTGTTGTGTGTTCAAAATATTGTATGTAAGAATCAACAATTGCAGAGAATGGTTAAAGTGCTTCTCGGGGTTTGGAATTCTAGCTAAGAAAGCTTTTTAAAGTTTCATATAACTGAGAATTATGAGGAATCAAGAAGTTAACTCGACCGGCTTGCGGTAAAAATAATTTATAGTAGGAGTATGTGTTGCACGAATGGTTCCTTGAATTCATCCTCCATCTACTCACATGTACTGCTCCTTGGACACCGACCCCATCGCTTTTAGAGCCTCTTCAACGTGCTTTTTAGTATCATCTTGAATAGCTGCGTCATGCAATAATTCCCGCAGCCGCCTTTCCCAGAACCCCCATTTTTGTAGACTTATCGGGGCAAGATCCTTTCTATAGAGATCGCCCGGTTCCAGTGGTTGAGACTCAACCTTGCAGAGCACCTCAAGGTAAGCAAATCTCTTCAAAATAGGCTCACTGCAATTAATAAGCCACTCAGCAGCAACCCAAACCTGGCAGTCTAAGAGAGGTCCACTAAATGGAGAATTCAAGGGCGTGAGACAATTCCCAGAAAGCTAGGAAAACTACCTTAGTAAAGCCATCACCAACAATATGTGAAACAAATGAATTCGTGTTTTTCCAAAAGTCAAAGAGACTCTGGGGAAGCGGTTCGTCATCTTGTTGGATAGGTCCTTTTTCCAATTAGCATTGGATGGAAATTGGAATGGGGATACATACTCAGCTCCCAATGTTTAATCAGCCTTGTTTCAAGTCCGGGGAGATCATGCCATATACACTCCTATAACCTCTGATTAGTAAATCGGAAAATAGAGATAGGAAAGAAAAACTAACCGGATTTTCTTGTTTGGGAGCACCTTCCCTCTGACGAATAATATAAACTGCAAGGAGTAGACACCTTTGCCATTCATGGCCAGCTGGAATGCGCCAGGCCATCTCAACTAACACAGCCCAGAAGGACTTAAAGACACTCTCAGGTGGGATGCCATCCTCTGTCTTGAAAAGAGAAATACTGTATCATTCGCAATCTTAGCAGCTCGGGTTTCCACAGAGGCTGGGTACTCAAGAGTACCGCAGATCATGCGGGAAATAGAGCGCTCGAATGGCTGGAAGCGTTCTTCAATAGAGTGTAGAAAGTCCATATTGACAGAGTTTATTGAGGAATTAAGCAAGGTGCTTGATGAGTGAGAGTAAGTTGGATTAAAGACAAATGATTTAAACAAGTAGGCATTTAACCCAACATTAATATTCGAGATAACAATGGAGCGAGGCTGGGATAGACCCGGCGGAAACGAGAGGCGGGGTTTCGAACCAATGAGCGCCCTTGTTTGCTATCTGCCCCATATGTAACCTGCCTATATGGAAACAGGAGACTCAAAGATTAGCTAGGGGCTAACGAAAGAGCTTTTTAAAGTACCTCTGGCGCTCCCATGGCGTGTTTGCGACCTCTCGCTGTTCGACACCGCGGCCATCACCAACGATGATGGTCCCGTTTGTCTCGCTGTTACTTCTCTTTGCGCCTGCAATTGCCCAAGAGCTCGCACTCGCCCAGCGTGGGAATACTAATTGTACAGATGTCCACATCTTCCTGGCACGTGGAAACAACGAACCCTACCCCGGTCGCCAGTCTAAGCTTGTCGCCGCCATTTGTGACGGACTGAGCAGCTGCGACTACGAGGATATCGCGTACTATAATCCCCTGGAAGCCCCGTACTGCGAGTCAGTAGTAGAAGGCGCATCCAATGGCATCTCGCAGATAACTGCCTACAATGAGCGGTGCCCCCAATCCAATCTGGTCGTCAGCGGATATTCGCAGGGCGCTCATGTTGTTGGCGATGTGCTGGGTGGCGGGGGAGGAGTATATTTCCAAGGCTGTGTCCAAACCTCCAACGACGGGTTGGACCTTGAAAAGGCTCCCGGAAACATGAGTAAGTGAGCATAAGGGCCGACTTGGAACTGTCGTTGCTAATTCTTTCGTAGTCCGCGCTGCTCTCCTGTTTGGAAATACTCTTCATACGGCAAATCAGCCTTTCAATTATGAAAGCGGTTCTGGTGCTGATGGCTTATTCCCCCGATCTGGCGATAGACTCGCTGGCCTCAACAAGTTCGCCAGCGTGCTCCGGGACTACTGTGTCGCCTCGGACCCAATATGTGCTGGCGGTGACGTTGTGGCCAATCATCTTAATTATTTCGACATTTATTCAACAAACGCGGCAAACTGGGTTGTTGAAAAGCTGGGATTGGAAGATGGGTCTACATCAACTACAATGAGCACCAGCACCAGCACGAGCACCAGCAGTACCGCCAGTAGCAGCACCAGTATCAGTATAAGCAGCAGTACGTCTGAGGCCAGTTCCGCATACGCCAGTGCCACGTCCTTCTCTGGAACCGCTTCGCAGACGGAAGATACGACCGTTTCAGAGACAAATAGCAGTACTGTTTCCGAAACGCAAGGCACAACCGACCAGACTACGCAACCTACATCATCTGATTCACAAGACAGTGCTCCGGGAGATTCTTCAGATGGCAGCAGCTTGGTTTCCTTGAGCAGAATCCCAATGAGATTAGTGTTAGGCTTTGGCATATTCACCTTTACATGGTGAAGAGGGAATGAGGGATTTGAAAGCATAAAGAAATATCTACGGCCAAGTGTATAATGGCGATTGTGGTGGTTCTCGGGCTGGTGTTTAGACGGATAGACGAAGAATATGGGCATTGCGATTAATTGAATTAGCTCATTTGCAGTGCGAAATTATGTTGAGAAGAAACAAGGGCAGAAGTATCGTGAATAAGGAGCATGAACTATGGTGATAGATTCTAGGAAGCCAAGTCAAAAGTATCTTAGAGGCTGATAGAAAGTACGAGAAGCGAGAAATAAGAAAAGAAGCAATGAGTATATGTTCTCATCGTTCATGTTAATTGGCTCAACGTACGAAGTTGAGAAAATTGACCACCGCGGCTCCAATGTAGTCTTTCCAGCTACACAGCCCATCTATTGTATCCTGGTTTAACGAAAGACCACCCCGCCATTTGAAAAAGCCATCAAACTCTGTTTGCATTATCGAAGGAGCTGACAGAGCGGGTGAGCCTCGAAGTGGGTGAGCATCGAAGAAGTCCAATATCATAGGAGTGGCCTCGAACTTTGCAGGTCTCCCATTGTTGTCGCTGTTATTCGATTTCGAAGGCCAGTCGTGTCCAAGCTTTGAATCGAAGACGTGAGTAACCAAGCCCTCCTTGTCACCGGAGCCGTACTTGGTGATGCTTGTGGTGGGCGTGTCGGCTGCCAATTGCATGGTATTGCCTTTCGTGTCGAGCCCATTGTTTCTCACCCATGTCTTTATCCACCAGGGAACACTGGGAAGACACTCCCCGGGTCTTCTAGCGTAATCACCGCGATATTTCGCTGCTCTATCCCTGCCGCCATGGAACTCAAGAATAGGGACATCTGTCCTTCCTGGGGAGCAAGGGATCGGGAACTTATAAGGTTCCACACAAGGCTGAACATCAGTGTAGAGCAGGGGGGCGACTAGAGCGAAGGCAGCGAAGGTTTGTGACAGAGTCGGTTCGCATGCAAGCAATCTTCCGACCAAGCCCGCTCCCTGAGATTTCCCGGCAGCGAATATACGATTCTTGTCAATGCAATAAAGGTCTTGAACTGCATTGAGAATAGACTTGGTGAACTCGATATCGTCAGCAGTAAAGTTTCTCAGGCCGAGAGACCAGTAGTGCTGCAATTGCGATCAGCCATTAATTGTTTGAATTGTGGGTTAGTAACCTATACCTTATAGCAAGTGCTATGCTGTGCACAGTTCGGCTTAGTCAAGCCATCCGGATATACAACTATCTTGTCCGTGTTGTAGTTAGGGTCAGTAAACTGATCTAAATTGACCTGTCTTTGTACGTCTCGAGAACCAGCATGATAGGACACGATGAGAGGTGCGGGTTTGTTGATGGAATATCGTAGGGGTATAGAGACAAAATAACGTCTATTGTTGACAGAGGCTTCATAAAACCCTCCTGGCTGTTGTCCATTAGAGAGAGCTCTACCGCAGCCAGGGGAGGCGCTCTGCGCGGAGACAAGTGCCGCGAGCGCGGATAGGACTAAGAATGCAAGGCGGGCCATTTCTGAAGAACTGAAGGCGTTGTATGCTCTCTGCGTTCATAAAACGCGAGGTAGATTATAAGAAAATGGGACAGCAGCTAGTTTCAGCAGGAATGTGAGAAAGCAGAATGAGGAAAATATACATCGCTGGCCTTGGTTTTGTCTCTTGCTCCCTGCGGTTGTAAAGCCAAGACACGCAATGAGACAAAAGACAAACAGCTACCGGTTACGACTCATAAAACCGTCGCTCATTATGTGGAGCTGGGGAAGGCCTAGTGAGTCTGGATAGACATCCCTATAGAAAGCCATTTTTGGAAATTGCATATATGCATGTTTCGTTTCTTTGAAAGCACGCTACATGTGATTTGTCTTGGGCGGAGATAGTGTGGTCGCTGTTGATGCTCTGCATAGGTCACCCGGTTTCACATTTCTATTTAACGGCTGTAGTAACAAAGTCGACCTCGTCATTGCAGCAACTGCGTATTTGCCGTTCTTTCATTACGGCTGATCATTTTTCCTTGCACATGAGTTTCTGTGAAGGTGGTGTGTTCTGCTTGCAGTGCATCGCATCTGACGAACTGAGGATCGTCGAATATCCGCAGAGAGCCCAATGTCTCATATATCCCAACAACCCACCTATTTCTGCCGAAGTCTGAGTAATCAGGGCTGGGAGGTTTGTTCTAGACCGTTTGGAGAGATATGGCTGGGTGTATGTCTGAGGCGGTGGATAATTATGCTATTGGTCGGTTTTCTTGGCTGCTAGCCCATTTCTGGGTCTCTTTGCGCCCAAAAGCTCTATTTTCCGGTAGCTATCTACAAATATCAGGGATAAATCTCGTTTTAAGCTTTGTTTTCATAAGGGCTTGCTACCGCGAGAATCGAAAATCGTTTCAAGACAGTCGAAGTTTTGTCAGATCTGGTGTGATAGCTCCAAGAACGCGCTTGGAATATGGCTGCAAATCCATCAATTCTAGAGTCGAAAGGCTTTAAATTTAGAAATTGGCCAGGAGGGGAAGAAGCCGCGGAAGGTTTCGGGCTGTCACACGCAGTCATCATTCCAGCCAACGCGCGCAGAATTATCGTTGGCGGCCAACTTGGTATCCGAGATGACGGCTCGGTCCCGGAAAATATCGAAGAAGAAGTCAAGCTGGCGTTTGATCATGTCTTAGCAGCTCTCAAGTCAGCCGGCCTCGGAGACGATGCGTTTGAATATGTCTATTCGGTAAGAGTGGCCATTTTCATCTAAGCACAAGATGGACAGCAACTAATGATAGCCCGATTCATCGCAGATTAAAACCTTTGAGCTCAAGTATAAAGGGAAATCTATCGTTGAACCGGTTGTTTCGATCGCGAGATCGTTGCTGAAGAATACTAAGCCTGCTTGGACTGGTGTTGAGGTTGCCGCCCTGGTTCATCCTGATGTACATTTAGAGATCACCGTGGAAGCATATCTTCCGAATTAAGTACAACAGCCAAGTGAAGACTCAAATACCGACTAAAATATGGCATTGAATAAAGAATTCTTTTTTCGAAAAGCAGCCGCGTGAGATTTTGCAATTTCTAGGTCCCTGGATATGTTAACATTTGATGTGATACCCGATGGGTCACTACAAATGGACGTCCCCCGTCAGATAATGGTGGGTTACGGAAAGTGGTTTCAAAATTTGGCCTGCTACGGCAAGTATATCTATGATTCGAAAATGACGCACATACTTTAATAAAGTATATTGACTTGTACTAAATTAAACAACTGCAACTCCCTCGCCCTGAGTATACACTGAATCGGTAGCAAGGATAGAGGCTCCCTCAGACATGTCCATAGAGTCATAGGTTCCGCCGGCAGGTAACGCAAGCTGTTCAATTGTGCCCTTCTTTCCACTGTTCACATCTTTGGCGAGCTGGTCGTAATGCTTATCCACTTCCTCAAAAACATTGTAGTCAGTAACCCACGGCAGAAGCGGTATAATGAGAGACCCTGGATATTGCTCGATGAGCTCGGGGGTCCAGTCATTGTTATGGTAAATGTTGCGAGTCGAAATAGAGGCCTGGTGAATGACATGCGACCTATTGAACCGTATACGTTCAAACACTTGCAAACCGAGCTCCACATCACCTTGGCATTTCTGCAGGCACATTGCAACAGCGGTGGCGTCTTCGACTGCCTGGCAAGCACCCTGAGCGGAGGTTGGCAAATGGCAGTGAACAGCGTCGCCCATCACAGCGCATCTCTTGGACGGCGAGAGCCAGGTTGTGACGGGGTCTCTCCAAACCAGCTTGTAGTCGATCAGGCGGTCCTCTGGCGTAACCTTGGTGATGCTTCGCCAAACGTCAGGGAACCCTGCCTTGTCGAGATAGTGCAGGACGTCTGACTTCTTGGCCTTCTCAGACCAAGACTCCGCAATATCCGATTCATCCAAGTGCGTCAAAACCCAGGCGCAGTCCCTTAAATGTAGGTTAGAAATATGAACCAAATACACATTGTGTTTGGGTAACTCACTTTCCATTCTTCCAGGTGTAGATGAAACCGTGCATGTCACGGCCAACCCAGCAGCGCACAGTATCCTGGCCTTCGTTTACCATATCGGCAACCAGGGGATCCTTGAGCATCTCGTCCGTGATATTGAAAAAGGCTCTGAAGATGGCATAGCCGCTGTTGACTTTCGATTCCTTCAGGCTTAGCAGCTGCTCGCGAGCCATGGATTTCGGCCCATCGCATGCCAGTACAATGTCTCCGAGAATCTTCTCGCCTCCTTCGACGACTACTCCGCGCTCTTTCTCAGTATCAAGGTACTGAACAACGCGTTTGCTGAATTGCATTTCAACACCGATCTCCCGCGCATAGTCGTAGACAATTTCGTGAAGCTCTCCACGGTGCCCAGCATAAACGTACTGAAAGTCGGTCCCTTGTGGCCAGACATCACGTCGGAGAGGTTGGTTTGTGGAATTGTAGAACTCCATAAACTTGGCCTTGTTGACGCCTGCTGCTGCCAATTTGCGGCCGACGGCTCCGTTGTCCCAGGACTCGAAGACGCGACCGGCATTGCGAACAAAGTCAAGAAGATCACCGTGCGAGCTCGCACCTGGATACGCTTCGACCAAGATAGGATGCAGACCTCTTAGTTTGCACTCGATGGCTGCGGTGAGGCCACAAAAGCCAGCGCCGACGATGACGACTCGCAGCGGAGAGCTGGAAGCCATGGTAGTTATCGGATAAGAGACCTAGATGCAATGGATTGGCTTTTGACACAGATAGGTTTCAGGCGGTTGACCTTAGTTACTGAAGTCTGAGTTGAGGGAGGACTTGATCTTCAATCTCAATTGTAAATTGTCTTGGTGGTTGAAGTCTCTTATCAATATTCAAATTACAGTGCTAAGGTTTAGCACAGATGTAGCTCTCAAAAGGCCTAACCCATGTTGTAACAGCGCCCGGGGACCGCGGAGAGCCGGCCGCATTGGAACAAGGCAGCCAATGAGGTATTAATCCCTCAGGGCTCGGAATTCTCATAGCATAAACCGACGATATCGTCCCTGTGATAGGAATCGGTTCCGAGAAACGTCTACGGCATCGTCTTACCAACTTTCCTCACAACTCTTGGATCTCATTGGTATATTGGGTTATTAACATGTTTCTATGAACCATTTACCTCATCTGATATCGCATCTGTGTCTTGCTGAGAGCTGGAAAAGCATAGGTAGCCTGAATGAAGCGATGCCCCAATATTGTGCCACCAACTTTCTACGATTAACTGGATATGCAACTAAAGAATGATAATGGGTAGGTAATCCATTTACAAGATAGTATTCTCTCAGTCTTGGTACTTTGGTTCCGCGGCGGACGGCAATGAGATGTGATCTTATCGGAATGCGGGGAAGGCGACTAACCCCCGACCAGCGACTAACCCAACGTTGAAGGCCTATGATAATGATCCGTCCCACTTGGTTTATTACTCCATCCCATGTCTGATCTGGTCCTCGGTGCCGTAGCCGAGAATTAAATGAGCTTTCTGCTCAGTGTTACCTTAAAGCCATTCACTTACCAGACCTAATTCCTTTCATTTCCAACATTTCCCATCACCTCTCCCCTCTTCAATTTCATCATAAAGCCGCATATCACAACCAGACAGCCTCAACAGGCTGGGACACAATCTGAAAGACCAGCAAGATGGCAGAGAGACTGAGTATTTCCAAGGAGACCGCCTTGGGAAAGGTGGGCAACTCCGATGACAGAGATGCTGAAGTGCTCGAGAACATGGGAATCAGACCCTCTGAGATGAAGCGGAGTTTCAATGTTTGGTCGCTTCTCTTCATGTCATTCTGTACCAGCGTCACATGGGAAGCGGTCTCCTCGGTTGTCGCCCAAGCTCTCACTTCAGGTGGATGCTCCAGCTTCGTCTGGGGCTTCGTTGCTTCTGCTGCTGGGGCAATGCTGGTCGTCTCTTGCCACGGAGAATATGCCAGCATGATACCGACAGCAGGGGGCCAGTACCACTACGTCGCCGAGATGTCTCCTATGCGTTATCGAAGGATCTTCTCTTGGTATGCCGGCTGGATGACCATGATCGGTTGGGTTCTCTGCGCCACCGCTGGTACTTTTGCTGGTGTGATGCAAATTCAATCTTGGATCATACTTTTCAAAGAAGATTATGTGTATGAACGATGGCACACAAGTTTGGTATGTATGATTGGTGGCTCTAGCCCAGAAAACCCGACTTCCCAGGAGGACGCTCGCTGATGCAGGGCATCATAGATATTTATCGGTTTTACAACCTACTATTCGATAACTGCCATTTTCCAGCTAAAATATTTACACTATATGATCTTCTTGGCAATGTTTGCCCACATCTTCGGGTACCTCGCAACACCAATTTACTTGTTAGTAAACGTCGAAAAGAAGAATACGGCAACATACGTGTTTACAGACTTTACAAATCTCAGCGGTTGGGAGAGCCCTGGTGTAAGAAACTGTTCCCATCACACCTACCGTAAATACAAAATGCAATGCTCACAATGGATTAGATTAGTTGGTCAATCGGTCTTTTGACTTCGGCAATTGGATTCGTGAACTGGGACAGTGCCCTCCATATGGCAGAGGAGATGAAGGATGCGTCCAAAGATCTTCCAAGAACCAGTGAGTTTGACTTCGATTTCGGACTATTTGCTAGGTTATCTAATTGTGTGGCATCTTCTAGTCTTGGTTAGTGTTTTTGGCAGCGCGGTTCTCACATTTCCGTGGATCATTGCCTTTGCCTTCTGCATCACCGATATTCAAGGGGTGTTGAGCGGCCCCGTTGGATTGATCAGCCCAATGGCTCAGCTGTTTTACAATGTGTCGGGGGGGAATCAAGCAGCCACGATAGGCCTTACGATCTTCCTGCCGCTAATGTCATTTTGCGGTACCGGCCAAGCTGTGATATCATCGACATCACGCGTTGTCTGGGCTTTTGCAAGAGATGGGGGCCTCCCTAATGTTTTTGCCCAAGTGGGAGAACGAACCAAGGTGCCTACAAACGCCATAATCCTGACGTGGGCTATCAACTGTGCCATTAGTTTGATTTACATCGGCAACGCGACTGCTTACTACGGCATCTCATCCGCCTGCACGGTTGCGCTTATTTTGTCATATGCGTTCCCTCTCTTCATCAATGTCGTCTGGGGTTTCGAACACTGTGCTATCCCCCGAGGCGCGTTTTCTTTGGGTCGATTCCATCGCCCCGTGGCCGCCGTGGCCCTTGCTTGGTGCATCTACCTTACGATCTTCCTTTGCTTTCCCACCTACTATCCTGTATCAAAGGACAACATGAACTACGCGTCTGTCGTGCTTCTTGGTGGTACTTCTGTGGCGACGATAAATTGGTTCTTGTACGGGAAGTCCCATTACGTTGGTACAACGTCAAGCGTCGAGGGTCATTGATTGAAGGAAATCGCGTTTTGGCATTCTAGCTAGAATCATTTGGCCACTTTCTATTATAAATTGGAAGTTGTGATATAGACTAAATGAAAATCATAAAGTTCCGTTTATTATGCGCCTCTGGTGATAGGAATATTCGACAAAGCGGGTTGAAAACGATAAGCCCAGCTGAAAACCCCTCTCTGAATGTTGCTACTTTATCATTTAACTGTGTAACTCTGGGTGCGGATAATACACACGTAGGAAATTGATGGGTTACGACCAACAAGGTATCACGTATTATGATATTCGCTAGTAGAGAATCTTAGAATAGCGTTGTTCACATACTACATGTGATTTCCTTTCTAAATCGTCGTCAACTCCAGATCGAGACCGACCTCAAAGATGAAAGGGCCGATTCTAAGCTGGAGAATCATCGTAGATACGGAATTTTCCGTGTCGTTGGTAGATGTTCACTGGAAGAGGGGAAGAGGAACGGAGGCAAAGCGAACCCCTCGTCTTAGCGTCGCTTATCTAGAACGGTATCCGCGGACTGCGGCACACGCTACCATCCGGCGGCCGGATCAATATATGACTTGCGCAGTTTATCGCGAATTGCTGATTGCATTGCGGGGAATCTGGGGCTAGCATGATGCAGTGACAGTTAGACCCCTCGGTCGATCCAACCGTCGCGATGATGTTACAAATATGCGCCCCGCCGGGACCAACGTCGATGGAACTGCTGTTCTCTTTCCACACCAATCGAAGCATCCGTCGACATGTCTGTATCTCAAGAATTGCTAAACTTCATCTACGTCTACTGGAAGTGGATGTTTCCGCTTTTTGGTGTCGCCTATCTTGTCTCAAATCGCTTCCAACATGGCCTGCATCGAGTTCCGGGGCCATGGCTCAACAGCTTCTCGACTTTGCCACGAATGTGGTCTGTCTACAAAGGAAAGCATCATCTTGAGGATCTTGAACTGCACGCTCGATATGGCAAGGTTGTGAGGGTCGCTCCGAATCTTGTTCTGGTGTCCGATACCTCTGAAATCAACCAGATCTACGGCATCAACACGCAATTCATTAAATCGCCCTTCTATGATTTATCTGCGGTGTATGATAATGAGGGCTTAGTCCCGGACACTTTTGTGCTCCGCCAAAATAAAGCCCTGCATTCCCGGATGAAGCGCAACGCGGCCAATGCATATAGTGTCAACGGGCTGATGCAGTTCGAGCCGTGGATCGACCCCGTTATTGCAAAGCTCCTTTTGATCTTCGATCGCCATGCAGAGAGCAGGACGGCCTTCGACATGGGGGATATGTTAAAACGTTTTGCTATGGATGCTGTCTGCAGCCTAACTTTTGGGAGCAACTTCAACTATTTGGAAAAGGGTGACGAGATGAAATTCCTGAAATCAATGTCCCTCTTTACCGCGTATATGTCGATTGTAAGTATAAAAAGCCTATCTTCTTCTCAAAGGCGGTAAGCCTTTGACCCAACACATGTTTGACAGGTCATTTTGACTAACGTGGTAATTTTAACTGCAGTTTGGCCATGTAGCTTGGCTTCACCCTGTTCTTTTGGGCAATCCCTATATAGCTAGAATTGTTTCTGGGGGTGATTCTTCCAACGATGCCATGTTGGAAATTTCCAGCCATGAATTGGGTAAATTTCGAGAATCTCCTCCAGCTGAAGGCGATGCCATGACATTCCTGAGCCGTCTCGCTCTCAACCAAAGCACAAATCCGAAATTGATCACCGACCGCGAGATCTTGACACACGCATTTGGAAACATCTCCGCGGGTTCTGATACGACTGCGATTGCCATGGGCTCCGTCATCTACCATCTGCTTGTGAACCGAGCTGCCTACGATCGTCTCTCTGACGAAATTCGCAGCCAGCTATCTCTACCTGTTGGTTTCCAGGAGGCCAATGCTCTTCCGTATTTGAAAGCGGTCGTCCAAGAGGCAATGCGTATGCATCCATCAGTGGGCCAAGTCCTAGGACGCATAGTTCCTCCTGCAGGGGCGACTGTTGGTGGCTACAAAATAGGTGGTGGCGCCGAGGTTGGAATGTCTCCTTGGGTATTACATCGTGATCCGGAGGTCTTCCCAGATCCAGATTCCTTCAAGCCAGAGAGATGGATTCTTGGGGAAGGAGTGAGGGACGAAGAGCATCTCAGGCAGATGAACCGCTCATTCTTTTCGTTTGGCCATGGGACTCATACGTGTACCGGGAAACATATCAGTCTGATGGAGGTGACCAAACTCATTCCTACCCTTCTATTAAGGTATGATTTAGAATTGGCTGAAGTTGGACAAACTCTCAAGTTCAATAACTGGTGGTTCACCCAACACCACGACCTCAGGGTCAAGATAACTAGCCGGTAACAATCTTAAATAAATACGCAGCTGTCAAAATATTTATGGTCCTATAGAGGAGTGAACAATGGATCGATATGTATGTCTGTTAAAGGCTTAAGAGCTGTTCTATTGCATATCGTTTGAACGTCAATACTCTTGCTTCCGGGGATTTTCGCTCCTCCATATCATCCAGCTTTATGGATTTGCGGGGGAGTAGAACGTAAGTGAGGTGATACCGGTCATCGAGGCATATCACGATATTTCGCACTGGGGCGCTTTTCTCCCGACGAGTCTCGCTGATACTTCCCCCCGTTCCGGCCCTTGGACCGGTCACCACTCAGCGTTCGCCAGTGCTGTCTCTGTCTCGCCACTTCTTTTGAATCAGGCGCCGAGTGCATAGATTCATTGCTTTGGCTTCGTCGAAACCCGCGGTCCGTGGCTGGTGCCGATGATGTCGAGGAATTCCGCACAGTTTTCGGCGAGGTGCAGCTGTCTCGCGTTTCCCTCTCCCGCACCTTTTCCCTAGCCGGACTAGATCTAACCTCTCTAGGCTCCAAGTTTGTGAGACCGAAACTCTCTGTTCGCCTCCTCGGTTGGTCCTGCCGTGGCATGTTTTCTTGCCCCGGCTTGAAGTTAGCGTGCATATGCTGGAGAGACTTTTTTGATGGCTCATGGGTTTTCGGGGGATCTCGATGCTGCTTTCGGCCGCGATCTCCACGGAGCGCCATCGAGTGGTCCCATAGGAATGCCTGTTCGTAGTCAGGAACCCATCGCTTCACGATGATGGTGGATGAATCATTCTTAGCTACGTTAGCAACTTCTTCCTTTGAGTCTAAAGGTAAGAAAAAGCAACATATCTCATCGTACTGCCACGGAATCTCATACGCATTCAAAGTTCTTTGAGAAACCCACTTCCTTGCCATTCTAGTGATTGTTGTCTCCACGCCGTCAATCACCATCGTCTCCCCGTTGTCGTTGAGAATCTCGTCAATCTGGCCACCATCTACGCCCCTGTCAACCAAAGCACCTTTCAAATAATTTAGGTACCAGGCGTTCTTTTCCTTGATTTCCTGCCCTGTCAGCTCCTCATCTTTGGGGAGGGGATTCGCTTCTAGAATGGCGCCAGGGTTGTCGATGCCGTATTTTGACATGTTCTTTTTGAGCCGCTCGAGAAAGGCCAGCTCCACAGCTCGTTTCTCTTTAGCCAGACGTTTTTGGTAGTCGCCTTCCTGAATGATAGCCTTTTTACGAGACTCTTCCCCGCGATGCTCCTTGCCCGCCTCTCTTCTTAATACTTCTTCCTCGAGGGTTACTTGAGACGGAGCTGCACTAAGAGTATTCTGAGAACTTTGGTATGGTCCGGATAGCTCTGATGTCGGCTTTTGTGATATTGCCTGAGACCTAGACCCTTTTGAACTAGATTTCTGGTCCGGTGCTAGCGGAGTTGTGCTATTATAAGCTGCTGCAGAGTTCATGTCATTGACTTTAGACAAGAGGTCAGCCTTTTGCAAGGCTGACTTATAAAACCGTACAATTTCTGCACGAACTTGCAAATAGTGCGGGTTGGTAGGGCTGTTGAATTTGTTGAGGCTAAAGTGGTCTACCTCGAGACCGTGCTTGGGATGGCCGTCAAATATTGCGCTTACTTCATCTACTATAAATTCAGTCATGTCAGTTCTTCCTATGACCTTTCCAAGTTTCGATGAGCGCTGCTCAAAGAAGCACGAAATCTTGGGTCCGCCGTCTATGCATAATGTGATAAAATCATCTGATACGTCGAGGAGACTACCAGTGTCAGACGTCATTGTATCCAACACATTGGTTTCGAGGTGCTTTGACAAGTCGGAAGAGGCTGCAATGGCTGCCAGGAGAGCGCTCTCAGGCGTGAAAGACCGTGACCCGCGATGGGGAGTTCCAAGAAAGACGACACCGATTGATGAGTCGAATACGCCCGGATACTTTCCCTGGCGCATTTTGGCAAGATTTAGGGCCTGGAAGTTTGTCAGCAATGACCTTCCGCTGGCGATGTTCCCGTCATACACGTTCGATTACCAAACCACCAAAACAATGCCCGATGAATATGAGCGGTCTCTCCAGATCTTCCTGTTGTGATATTAGCCAAGCCCGCCAACGCTAGGCAACTCACATACCGCGCGCATTATGTTCAGACTGAGAAGTAACTTGTATGCAATCGTAGACAGAGATGTTCGAATAGCTGTCTCTCCCATCCAAAGCGAATCATAGCCAAACCTTAGAATCCTCGCCTCGGGGACTGCCTTGGGCAGCATGTCATCGTGTGAAAGCCAATTGATACTCGACGCCTTCTCTTTCCAAGTGATATCTGGTATCGCGCCAAGACCATGGACGGCGACAATGTCGACGCGACCATCACGAATGCTTGGGTTCATAACCTCGAGATTAAGCTGCTCCACTGGTACGGCCTGAAGTTTCTTGGCTGGTTGATCTGTGGTAGCATGCTTGGCCTTTTCGCTTGGACTTGAAGGCTGGGAAGGCAATGTACTTTTGGGGGGGATGGCTTGGGATGGCTTTGGATTTTTCAAATGCCTTGTTCCTCTGTTTGATCTCCTCCTCGATGGATGAATGTGGTAGGGGAAGGCTAGACTTGAATGTCGTTGTGTTGTTTCCAGAAGTAGTCGTATTTCGTTTCTTAGCCTAACCAAGGTTTGTAAATAATCAAGGTGAATACTCTGCTTTAGCGTTGGTTTATTACGTACTGCGTTGATATGGTTCTCGTCACTTAACGATATGTCTTGCGGTGGAGGCGGAGCTCGAGATCCCGCACGAAATTGCCTTGTCGTGCTCCATTTTATTCTCCCACTAGAACCCTGGGCTCTTTTATCAGAAGTGTCTGCACTGTCTGCACTGGAGTCGGCCCCATCGCCAGTCTTCATCAGAGCCTTGTGGGTTGATGCACGCTTGGCTCGTGGAGCTGGAGCCCACGGTGCCTTCGTATCGGAAGCATACTTTGATTTCACTAAATTACCAGACGGCAACGATTCCATCATGTAATTCACTTACGCTATCCGCCAGTGGCAGGTCTGTCTGGTGCTGTAGGTTCCCTATACGGCTGGCCTTCATCTGGTGAGGGGTATTTGACACACTTTGCTACTCGACTTGAGCGCCGCCACCCTGGATAATGTGCGGGAGTTTCGAGTGTGAGTGTAGAATGGAACTGAGTAGTAGCTTTTCGGATGATGTTCTATGCGCATAAGGGCGCCAGCTGATAGCTTCATTCAGGATATGTAGATGTTGAGATCAAAATCAAAGCAGTCAGCGCAAGGCTGCCAAAGCACCATCCATAGTGTCATCAGCTTACAGGGGTCTTCGTGAAGGACAGGGGTCAGCCCGCGCACAGCTCACGGATGTAAGCTTTCCTCAAATTCAACAGCTAAACACTATCCTACAAAACAATCACACCAAAGTCTACTTCCATCCTTAAAACTGGGTAATGATTATATAATCTGAGCTAGGTCTGAGTCCACACTGAGCTAGAACCGAGCTCGACTTGGGCCAACTGAGCTGTGGCTGTGCTTCCAAGCCAGCTTCTTTTGCTTACCTAAAATGCAGGCCCGGCGGGGGCCCCAACTTGTGGCGTAAGTTAAGCAGAAACTTCACCCGATCTCATTCCCATCCTGTGGCTATTGTATGTACTTCATTTCTGCATAAATGGCTTCATTTCCTCGACTAACTTAATCCCTCTTCTAAGTAGTCAATTCTATCGTGATTTACCTTGTTGCACCTATTTACATAACTCAACAAGTGATCCCATAGTGTCTGTGACGCGCTGGGTCCCAGGCTACAGGGTAAGCTGAATTGGTTCACGAAAGGAGTTTGGCAGAGAGAGCAGGGTGTGAACGAGGCCACACCGCTCCCCTACGCGCTCGATCACGCATTGATAAAGGATGTTGTTATCCTCTACCAAATCTATAGGTACAGAGACCTCTGAGATTCTATCATACCCGGCTTTCTTAGCTGTCGCAATATAAGGGCTGACTTGATAAAGTATACAATAATCTCAATGTGTAAGATAATCTTGGGTCCACGATTCGAGTCCCCTATTCCTATCATCGCTGCTGTCTAGCAAATATCAGTTAAAGTTCAAACCTGCCATAGAATTTAATCGAATAACTTTGTAAAGGCGGGCAATAGGGGAGTTCTTGAATATACAGCCACATTTCCTCTCTTCTATAATATTCTAGAAATTCCATATGATAAGCATAAGCCACCATATAACTTAATCCTCCCAAGGTCTCCGGTAGTACCATTAATAATATAATATAAGGCGACAAAGGTGTTACTGGACTTTGGGTTAACTTTTTAAATATTATGGGCTAGCTTGTGGCTTCTGTGGCTTTGGCAGAGGTGCTTGTTACTCTCCGGCCGGCAACCATGCGGGTCCCTCAATATCTGACTGGTCAGGTTATTAGTTTCTATAAGTATGCAGTTCCTAGTTAATCATTTAAAAGAGAAAAAATCGTCTTCCTACCTTTTTGCTTTACTTTTCTGCCTATTCATGCAGATTACCCTACTATCATGACTTGGATTTATTCTAAATTGATCGGGATCAATTGATCAATTGAAAATCTACCTCCGAACAACATCAACGAAACCAACATCACGTTCAAAGGATAAGTTTTCATTGAAAGCTGTGGTTCTCTACGCTTCGTCACATGACTTCTCTGGGCAGGTTGTCTGGTGTTGGGGTCGTTCTTCCCACGCAGCTCTCACTACCTGTTGCTAGTCCTTGCCCTACTTATTCACTGCCCTCTCGGATATTAAACGTTCCTAATATGAAACATTGAGTTGTAAGGTATGCCTCAAAGCAACATTATGTGCCGAGTCGCACCACGGGTATCTCTTGAGAATGGTGCTGCTGCCAAACGGGGTGGCCGAGCCTTGGGTCCGAAAATAGGGCCAATCCCAAAAGATGGATGAACGTGCAATATAATAGGTATAACTTTCCATGGGATAGCACTTAATGTAACATATCAGTTGAGAAGAACTCAAGGTGTTGGCATTTCTCACAAAAATAAGTGTCCCATCAGCCATATATAATTGGTCTGAAAAAATCCACAAGAATACAATACCAAATAAGCCAAGACAGCAGAGAATAGTAGTAAAGGGGAGAAGCTTTATATTTCATATAGTGTCCTATATCATTTCGCCACCTTTATTCCCTCATAGGCTGTCAGAGTTTTACAAGGAGGTAAACATATTTTGGAAAGTGATAATGCCAGCTAAAAAAATCTAGGCAGATATAGCTGCCAGAATATTAAATCGTTCTTAATCTGATTAACTTCAACTGACATTTTCATGTATTGTGTTACTGGTGGATAGGGAGTGTCGGTAGAGCTTCAAGTGCCATAGGACATATTGGAATTGCGTTGCTAGGAAATGAATGTACAAAAGATTTGATTTTATAGTACTCATGGGATGGCTGATTGAGCCTTAGGCCCGGAAATAGGACAAGTCCCAAAAGATGGATGCAAAATGCTTAATAATCAGACAGTATTTTATGTACTGGCCCTTCCTTTGGGATAGCACCTTTTGTGCTAGCCCTTTCATAGGATAGTACCTTTTATGCTGCCCCTTTCTATGGGATAGCACCTGTATGTACCAGCCCTTCTAATGGGCTGGCAATTGATGTACCAGCTTATCGGATGCTGAAATGAGGGCATCCGCTATCACAACGCTCAGGATCAAACGATATTACTAATTTCTAATATGAATCGACAAGTAGATAATAGAGCCTATGAGAATATAATGATAAGAAGGTATTATTAGGATCACATTAGCTGGAAAAGAATAAGGACAACTGATTTTATTTGAGACGCACATATCTTGTGGCTATTGATTTTTCTCATAACCCCTTTTTATCGTATCCTGACTATGCCCTACACCTTTATATTGTTAGCTATATATCTATTGGCCTATATCGACTTATATAATATATATGTAGCAGATCCAATGGTCACCTGACCTACTATACTATGGCACCTACTATCTACCTATCACTATCTATTTAATCAGTGACTATATATCTACTTTTGTGACTTAGGTAACTAAATAGGTAATACTAGCATTAGAGTCAATACTATGGGATACGTTTATTTACTAGCAATCAACAGCTAATTTGGGAGGGATCAGGCCAAAGAGCTGGCTTAGGCATAGGCATAGGCTATCTAGGCCAGTGGCTGAATCAGGTTCTGGGCAGGTACTGAGCAGGTACTGAGCAGGTTACGTGAGATATATAAGCCATAAATTGGTAGGTGGTTAAGCAAAAGCGATGGGTAGAGAGTATGTCCCTAAAGTTATCATTGTACACTGGCCTCGTATTATATCGCGATTCATTTACCCGATGAAAGGAGTCCAATAAGAATATGGGCGTCTGCTTCTTTGGAATTTTTCTATACTAGAATGACCGTACCAGATTTAGATTGGCTTCTTATTGTACCATATCCATGTTTGGAAATATCTAAACCTAAAGCCAAAATGTCCTCATGATTGTCAAATGTCCAAAGTCCAACTCGTCGGAAAACGACTGGCAAGGAGCAAAGGACAGGTTGTAGTACTAGGCAAGAGACTTCGGTATGGTAATGTTGATAAGAGGGGTTCAAAGGTTCAGATGCATCCTCATAGCTGGCTGTTCGTATCGGAAGAAGGCAAAACGGGCCTGGAAACTGTATATCAATATCTTGACTGTCCGGAAATGGGATACTTGATAGACGCAGTTTGAAATTAGTGGAAGTTATTAAGCAGCCTAGTAGATGCAGTTGAAAACTGTGTGTGGGGTTTCTGAGTTGTTGAGTCGAGGCGTCGAGTTCTGGCGTGATGTTGGAAATACACACGAGAAACCTTTGTCTAGCAGCTTGATAACAGGGACGAACTGGGCTGCTCAAAGAGGCCCAGGACCATGATGGAGCACAGTAGGTTCCTGTCGTCGTCGTCGTGCCTTTAATACCTGGTTGATCCACCCACCAACATAACTGTTCAAGAAGACTTGATCTCCACATCCCTGCCAGATATTGGTCACCGGTGGTCGTAGCAAAGAGGCCGACAATACCGAGAAGCGCTGCAAGTTTGTCATTCGAGTTGGTCAACACGCAGTTTGAGTATTCTCGAACGAGGCGGCCCCACAAGTCAAGCAACGGGCCGGGCATGTCTTGGCGATCCAGCGGTGTTTTCCCCCGATTCAGTGCCACCATCTCCCAAAGAGGCTCGAGCCTTTTGATGGAGTGATGCTTGGGTATTCCATACGGGAAAGCCTCGCACTTGTTCTCTGTGAAACATTCCCAGAAGACTTGTTGTTTGCTAAAGTATATGACGCGGGGTGCTAATAGGCGTTCTTGAAAAACCCATCCTCGTCTGTGGAGAGGACCATTCGAAATTTGGCGATCCCAGTACTTACGATCAAATATGTAGTACTTCTCGTTCTCCGAGACCCCAGAATGGAGTTGGGGGCTTACCAGACCTGGTATAACCGCAGCAGGTTCTCTGGCTCTGAAGAGACCGCCATGAGGATCCGCGGATGCTGATGCAGCTATGTTAACTGCAGACTGACTGTAAATACGTTCCATCAACGGTATCTGACGTTGCACATCCTCCATCGAGTCTTGAATGATGCAAAGGGCGTCGATCCATAAATATCGAACGGACAGCTTTCGAGCAATAACGATAGCATCTTGGAAGGTCTTGGGGAGGTCACATATCGGTCGTTCCGCACGAAATTCGGCCATGGTCTCTCTACGAAGCATTAAGGATTGGTGCTTCAAGCCCCATCTATAGCTCAAAGTAACATATGGTGCCCACGGAATGGCGTCTTCTGTGGTGATTTTGAGTCTCCATAGAAGATCACCCTCACTGCCGATATCCAGTAGCCTAGCAGGTAACCAAGAACCGTACCGCCTATCAGGTGGACCGCATGACTTATGGTGCCTTCGACAAGTCTGGTACCATTGCCGGATAAGACGCAAGGTAGTCGAAGAAGACGTGTGTGACTCCATCTGAACACAAGGAAAATATGCTATGGACGTGGGACCTGTAGTAGACAGATATGGAAGTTGGAGGCTTGTTCTTTGGAGATGGGAATAGGAGGGAACTTACTGCTGCATGGAAGTAGCTCAAAGTGCGTTTCCAACAGTGCCGCATCCTGGGATAAATCCCCGCGAAACTGAATCACAAGCTTCAAGTCACCCGAATTGCTCCTCGCACGAAGCCAAAATGCCGTAGAAGCCCGCGGCCTGCTAATACACACACTGCTTGTGGCGTGGTTTATATTGTACATCACATTTTCCCACACGATGCGACAGACAAAACACTGTAATACTACAGCATCGAGAAGGGACGCAAGATTTGAGTGATGATCGTTGTACATGTTTGCTTTCCTCAAATCTGCGTCATTATGCGCAGAAAAAATCATCGTACAAGCAGAACAAAGTGCACTCATATCTACCATCTTGAAGGAGAAGCGTAGCCGGTCGACCATTGGAATTTGCAGGGGACAGAGGACATCGTTAGTAGAAAAGTGGCCCTACACATGCTTACATATACATACCTAGAAAATGCAAGGCCTGATTCAACATCCCTATTGCTTATAACGCTAGGTAATATTATATTGAAAAAGGGTTATGCCACGTCATCACACGAGTATTGCTTATTTTGCACTTTGATGACGTGGCATAACCCTTTTTCAATATACATGAAGTATTGGATTATGACTTCGAACCAGTCACTAGATGAGTGTGATCAAGAGGTCAACAAGAATTTTGATGCATGAAACAAGATATGTATTTTCCCATACAAATGACCAGGAAAGGAACATCCTGTGGTTTGCATAGAGAAGAGGTCGAGGATGGTCACGGTCTTAAGCTAGCAAGCCACACTGGCCCTGATCGGTTGATACGGTCACACATACACAAGAAAGAAAGAATATAATAATCGTAGCTCAAGAGACCCCTAGAGGGATCCGTGGTTCAACATGAGGTAATATGAATAAATCAGCCTTACAAAATGCAAAATCAGGCAGCAAAGTGCAACATTATATTGATGATGAATTGGGTATTTATAGGTACCAAATCAGTGCCATTTGCTGAAAGTACTGCTCCATCAGACTCTATATTCGCTCATCGCCACTAAGGTAAAACCATCGCTCTCACTACTCCAATCTGATGCTTATCATTGCAAATATCCTACAGGATCAGGTTACAGCTTAATCGACTGTTTTCTCAAGATTGCGCATCACGGTCCGTTTGCAGTCGGCGATGTGTACTTTCCACTACGGAAGAACTTTCTACGAGGCCTGCGACCATGCTGGGCGAACTCATTGTATTAGCTGGTCCCCCTGCGAAAATGCGGTGAGGGGTGAATATGGCACCGATCCCTGTGGCACAAAAATTAAGCAGCCTGGATTCCAAAGTTCGAGCGAACCCGGACCCTGCCCTAGCTGCAGCCATAAATTCAGGAAAAATAGTAAAGGAGTTTGGGTCAAGATGTAGGAGAGTTATGTAAGGATCAATACCACCATCAATGAAGATATCGAAATGGATTGTACAGCATTCAATGGAACAAGATATTGATTACCCGTAGCGTAGTTAACCTTCCATGCTTGGAAGGACTGTGCAGTAGTATGAGCCTGAGCTGTGACTGAGCAAACTCCTGAGCGACCCTGAGCAGGGCTGAGCCGAAGCTGAGCCAGCAGCGTCCTGTAGATAGAATCCGCTAAATCAGACAAACTGATATGGAAATAAGGGACAATTGTTTTTCAGGAATGACCACAGATTACATAGGGTGTTATGGAATCAACTCTCAAGGCATCCAACTACGAAGAATAGTCTAGCATACACCTTCTGGAAGATCAAAGGAATCAACTCGAGGCTCGCCTGTCACAGCACTAGCTCCCAAACCACGCTTGGCAAAAGCCCTCCAAATCTCACAGGCATTCTGACCGCCGGTCAAAGCTACATCAGCGTCGATGATGGCATCACGAGCTTGTACAAAGGACGGATTACACGGCTGACTGAGAATGGCAAGGTTAATTCTGATCACGACGTGCCTGGATAGTGACCGAACCAGATCCTCGGATGCTTCTACTTACAGGGCAAAGCCGTCCGTGGTGAGTTTGACAGAGAGAAACTTCCCGTCGGTGGGCACACCATTGACCATGTCAGGACGGGGATTGTCGTTCTTGCCGTGCTTGCCGATGAGGTTCCACAACATTTCATAGAGCATCGTACACCAAACGGTTCCTACTTGATGGACTCTGTTGAAATCGTTGACTGAAGAGTAGGTGTACTCGTTGATGGCCATGTCCGTAGAATAAAGCGTTAATCGGGAGCCCGTTGAATTATTCAAACCCCAAGGAGACACGGCATATGTCGAGTTGCGGTCTGCCTCGGGCTTGACAGTCAGAGCCGCCGCATAAAAGTCGCTCCATCCTTCAGCCATTCCGTCGGGCTCGAAAGCGCTGAGACAATCTCTATTATCCGGCGGCCCCGTCATTCGGTCGGACACTATTGAAACATATTAGCATGATGTGAAATATTCTGGGACATGAGGAACACCTGCTTCCGTGAGTGTACTCATGTATAAGAATGCCCGCCTCAAAGGAGCTATCTCTCATAGGATCGGTTTTGTCGAATGGGTATATATTCATTTCTGGAGACCTTCCATCGACTTCCTGGAAGAACACGCCATTATTGAATGCGCCATTCTTCTGCACATTGACTCTGACTGCGTCGTTTCCTAGTCCCCCTTCACCATTGTTATCCATTTGGAAGTTGCCTGCCTCAGGTGTGAAGCCTAATATATAATATAAGTCGTGAAGCATGTTGGTGACGTAAAAGGCCTGTGTCACGCCTGCCTCATAAAAGTCCCAAAGAGTTCCTGTATCCGGCACATACGGGAAGACAAAAGACTCGTTAGGACTTGTGGCTGGATGTTGGCCTCCAAGCAAAGTGGGATGCGCCCCAACCACAATATTGTTTCCAGTAGTATCATAGGTGTTGGTGGTGGTATTGAAAGGGTTATGCCAACCAAAAGGAGAGGCCTTCAAGTCTTGCGGATCCTCGATCTCGGTTCTGATTCCGTCGGCGGGACTACCAACACCAAATGGACTAAAACCTCAAGTTAGCATGGATAAATTTGAAGGTTCATCACCACAGGGATATTACTAGACTTCATAGATCCAGCGATCGACATGGTTAAGAACTGCTATCACTGTTGCTGGTTCATTTTCGGCATCCACATATGATGAGTATGATGTGTCCTGTGCATCCGTGCCAACTTTCCATGTCAGGGCGAGTTTGCCATTCGGTTTGGCCAGATATACCAGTCTAGCTGTTGGATCTCTTGTAAGACCTCTCACGTTGCGAAAACTATAAGACTGACAAGATTCATCAGTTGCCTCCACCTTGATGTTTGAGGTGATGTCAAAAGGTAGATCCAGTGTCCTTTTAATGGCCTCGAGAGCTTCCGTGGGAGGGAGACCTAGAGCTTTGCTGGCTTCTGGGCCTGATTCTGGAAAGCTCCCATTGAAAAATGAGTTTCCGAACGAGAATATTTGGTCGTTTTTGTCTAGGTTTACATTGAATACTGCGTTGTCAATCTCAACATCATTGAATGTTTGCTTGAAGTGTACATGGCTGATTCCGTTACTACCGGTATAATGGCCCGGGATGATTTTGAATGTAGCAGCAGGAGCAACAGACTTTACCAGTTCAGACGCTGTTTCTAGGTAGCTGACCTTTTGGAGTTCTTGAAGATTCAGAGAGGATTTGGCCTTGGCATTATTGATGTACTCTGTAGAGGTTTGGATGCGAAGTGCTTCCAGATCAATTGCCCCGACAAAACCAAACAGCTTGGTTGCAAGAATGAGTGTAAACAGATACATATTGGAATTGGATAAGGGTAAAGATCGAGAGACAATCTTCCTCTTCCTCCTAGACTCCGTCATTTTATATGCTTCCCCCCAGATCAATCAAACGAATCGTGACAGAGGCAAGTGGTATCAGTTTGCATGGCAACCCACCAAACGGGCAGGTAGCTGTGTTTGAAGGGCACCTTTGAGTGATAGCCACACTTCCCTACGCGTCTATAAATTTATACTGATCCCCAAGGTTAAATTACTTTTCTTGGTAGGTAATAATGTGAAATCAGCCCCCCACCCATCCTGTGCGGGTTGAAGAAGATAAATATGAGTGGCCAGAGTCCGAATTTCATTTGGTGCATAGCCGTAATTGTAACTGCGACATGAAACGTTACGGGGAGATTGAATAAAAATTCCCCGCATCACCAGATCTTAATTGATCGCTTACTTTTATCTGCCTCATATCACAATATGCCAACTTATTTCAACCGAGGGAGGAGAGTCAGGAACCTCTTCGGGTATCTTGATTCTGGAATCAGGCCAATAGAGTGATTCTCTTCTATTTATAGATAATGGTCTAGAAATAAATGAAAAAAATCATCAATCAGTTCTTGACTTTCCGCGTATTTTGTCCCCAATTGCCCCATCTATTCTCGACGGATCAAGATTTCCTGTTATCCCTATAACAGAGCCGAACAGCCCCATAGTATGGCCAGGCCTTACTTCATTTCAGGAATTTCAATCTTTTAGGCAGATCGATCATATTCCAAACGTTCTTTTACCGCAACATCTCGATCGTGCAGATATCTCATCACGAGAACAGTGGCGGCAGCTGCAGCAGCGAAACCGGCTGTGATGTAGTTACCCGTGACGATGTACGGCTGTTGGCTCGTTGGGAAGGTGAAAATAGGGACCCAAGCTGTGAAAATGTATGCAAAGGCGTTCATCTATACTGCCGTCAGTGAGAGCCCGAAATAAGTGGAAAGGAAGACAAACCATAGCAGAGATGTACGCCCGTTTCTCTGGATCGTCTCTGTTCACTTCATTCACCCAGGTCCAGCTGAGGCCGGCTGCTGTGCTCCCCAGAGAGGTGAGATCTGGAAACGGTAAGGTTAGCCTAGGTTTCCCATGTATGTATTGAAATTTCTTACAGTAGATGGCCCAGCGTGTTCCTCTGTTTGGTGGGTGAACAGGTGTTGCGGCCAGGGCGGTAGGGAAGATAATGGCCATAATACATGCAAATAGCATGCCTGGCCATCTGGCCGATCTAGGTAAACTATCCGAGATCCAAGAATTGATAAGAGTCGCGAAAATAGTAATAATATTTATCTGGGTGATGTTAGCTAATATTTTGGTTCATGTCAGGAAGCAACTTACACCAAGAGGGATGATATTGATCTCGGCGACGGAAAACACAGGCGGTTTCCCTGTAACGTTGTAACTCTTTACCCAGAAGATCACTTGGACGGTCAGTACTTCGATGACAGGACGTCTGAGTCGGATAACTTACTAGATCCGCCGGCTTGACCAAATTGAGCGAGGAGGGCAAAGAACAGGGGAACTTTACATTGTTAGCCACTGATTACTTACAACCGAAATTGAGATACTTACAGAGGTAGACGTGCCAAGTCGCATGCCAGCGCTTGATATCTTGCCATTTAAACAAGCCGGTACGAACTTTCGCTTCAGTGGGCATCCGAGCACGGGCCAAATCAACCTCCTTTTGCGTGAAGATCCTAAGGGGGGTTAGCAATATGATGTCTTAAGGAAACCACGAGACTTACCAATTGGCCTTTGCTCGGCTCGGAAGCTGGGGCATTGCGACCGCTGTCCAGACAGCACAAGGAAACGAAACACATCCGCATACACTGCGATTGTTAGCCCGGTGCTTGCTGAGTGACAAAAGTTACTCACATGAACATCCATCGCCATCCAGGAAGACCATGAACTCCATTCAGCCCGCTATATACCGCTGCCATCAAGAAGCCCGAGAACAGGGGTCCGACTCCAGTGAATACTTGAATTAGGGTATTACGCCGAGCCAATTCGTGAGGTTTATAGTAACTTGAACACACGTAGATGACAGCCGGAAAGTGACCAGACTCAAATAACCCAACACTGCAGGAATTAGCAACATCCAGAGTGAGCGGGGGTCAAAGCGACATACAAGAAGCGGAAGACGTAGACCTGATTGATATCCTTGGCGCCGGCAGTTGCAAAGGTGAAAATGGTCCATCCAAGTTCAAGAAAGGCGATGTATAAAGGGGCGTTGACCTAAGTTCATGTTAGATTACGACCTACAAGTAAGAACAAACAACTTACTCGGGTAAGAATAAGGTTAGATGGAATCTGTCCAAAGACGTATGCAGCACTCCAAATGGCGTTGGCATAATTGAGTTCGTTCCCGTAAAGCGAAAGATCTTCCTTCATGCCACTGTCTGTACGGTCTGTTAGCTCAGTTCAGTCTCTCCACCCAACAGAGTCACATACTAAAGGCGTTCGTGATGTTGGCTTGGTCAAGATACCGGCACATGACACCCAGAGCTGAGGCCGATATAAGTGTTAGGTCCAGCTTAGTGAGGAACTGGGCCTCTTCCTTGGGAACATCAAGTGCTGCGGCTGTCAGTCAAAGTACCTCCAAATTCATGCATCGTAGAGCTTACAAGACCAGAAAAATGACTTCCATGACCGTTTGGATTCGACATATCCTGAGTCCTCTGCGTCCAGAACTCGTGTCTTTGACCCAGGGCCGTTGCCATCGCTCTCGCTAACGACAACGACGCTTTTCACGTCTTTTTCATACGGCTGTGACATTTTGACTTGAGCTGATCACCACCTGTTGGGGCCTTTTCTCTGTCTGCCGCGGATATACGGCAATCTTAAATAAAACTCAAAGCCCTACCCGACGACTTACAAACGCAACAATGTGGGATGGTGTCGCCTTCGGCGGGGCCCATGGCGACATCGAGGGGCGGCGCTGGGATTAGACAATAATCTGATCACGTCGAGTGCGCTAATTGTATCCCAACTCCACACCCCGTCTTGCAACATAGGCTGTCTACCAATCTCGGTTGAGAGGGAGATAACAAACGGCGCAGAATCCTCGGATCGAGCCACCAGCTGAAAACCGTCCAGCGTCCGATGACATGCTTACAAAACGTGTGGTTAACGCTATTCGATCGGATGACTGCGCGGCTCTCCCCAAGCCTCTGTTTAGCCTGCTCTAGCAGCGATTATCTATTGATTCTCGACATTTAGCGTCGTCTCAGATGGCAACATATCAGTCGTATATTGTGAATATCCCAAGGGTTTGGTTCCAGATGCAGTCCAGACGGAAGAAATGTACGTGACACGGGAGAGCCCAGTTTAATGGCTCCAGGTTCTGGGCTTTATGCTTGACGTCCGAGGCCGGGGTCCACTAGTTATCTGCAACTTATGTCGTGTCCAAGGTATAGCAGGCCTCTTAAAACTTAATACAACGTTAATGGCGGTGTATACTTGTCAATAGTTGCTGGTGAAAGAAGCAGTTCGTGCTCTATCCCCCTGTCGCGGCTAGGGCGGGCGCAATAAGTCTTAATTTTCGTTTTGCAGCAGAGTTGTTTCATGGTGGAACCGACACAATCTCTGGACTAATTTTGTACTGTCATTTCGAGCTGGATCCCAGTATCGCCGATGATCAAGAGGCACGGTATTGTCCCATAGCGTGGCGAACTGGCTAATGTTGACAGACACTTCCAAATGTTCTCAGATTTTGTGCTGAGCATCCCGTCGCATCATTCGTTTCTCTTGAGGAACTTCCGTCCAAAATTAAAAGCAGACAAGCCCTCTGCTTTTCACATAAGTCAATCAGGAAATCACACAAAACTTCCTTGTCGTTTGAGTACGATGCCGAATAATTTGCCACCAGACAAGGGGTGGCATAGCATTGTAATGCATCACTTGTTACGCCTTAGCTCTACGCCCACCCAGTCTGGATCAACGATTCATGGCATGATTAATAATAAGGCTAGAGAGCCTATCGTGCCTTTTACGGCAAATCCCGTGTGACTGAGATGTATGATTGGCATGAGATATCCTGTTAGTGATCTTCTTGTGTGCCAACGCGGTTATCATCCTTCTCTCCGGTCGGGATTGAAGTTGCAAAAGTCCCTGTTGGTCAGCCCGCATAAAATCTCAATCCACTGGGCCTACTTATCTGCCAAACCTGTAACTGTCATCTCGCCGGATCGATACTTGGCATTGCTTCATGAGCTTAATATAAGATACTTGGGTCCTTGGGTACTTGGAATTCGAGTGACCGCTGCTCCTCCTTGCTATGACTCGATACTTGCCTCTGAGGTTCAGTCTAGCCTGTGTCGAGCCCATTCATCCCTAGGAATAGAAATGGTCTGGTCGAAGGTAGAACTAGGAGCGTCACTGTCATCACAAGGATTGATGGTTGGATTGTGAAGCGGATCGCATTGGAAGAGTCCCTGGTGAGTACCTAAATATTTGATTCTTGAATATCCTTCAATAATGGAGCGCAAGGTAAGTGAATAAACCAGTACAAGCGCCAGAGTCTCCACACGTGCGATCATACACGCTCATGGGGGCACGGTAATCAACTTGAGGCTGTGGATTTCGGCGGAGTCAGGAACTCTACGAGCCGAGTTGTCCTCGTGGATAGGTAAGCATTACTCATAGCCTCAGTGTTCTTCTCGATATACAAGTTGTTAGGGGAGTAGATGTTGGCAAAGTCATCGCCGGGGAGCTTATTGACGGGCTTCCAAAATTTGCCCAACCCTAACCTATCGCGCATACTACACTGCTAATAACAGGAGCATTATGATCCTCTTCGAGTTACTGAGGAAGTTCTCTAGCATAATCAAACTAAAGAAAATGCACGGGGAAAAAAAGTGACATAGCAAGGCGAGATTCTTCTTAGTCTCAACATCCAGCTCTTTCACTCAAAGCGACTGACGGTAAACTAGCGGCGATGATACTCCCACGGGGAGCTTCGGCGATAGTACATCCAAGACAATGTGACTTATTCGAGAAATAGAGAGGCTGCGAGCGAGAAGTGGCAAATTGCGACACAACCAACCATCTAATCGCATTGTCGCCGATGAGATATACTGTCGTCTCCTCATCACCCTCCGCGGGGGGAGCGAAACCTGCAAAATGCGCTTGAATTCTCTTGTTCTTCTCTGTCGCTTTGCATCTCTGGTAGCACACAACGCCCGGGATCGGCCGCTTTGACAGACCGATGGGCGATCTCTGGCTGGTGAAGCCAGATGCCTTCTTCAATGTCGGCGTGTGCGACTCCCTGGTATCGAACGTTAGATTTTTCCACCCATCCCTTGTACTGCCTGGTAGGTCATCTAGTACAGGTTGTGCACTAATCAATGTAGAAAAGAATCCAGCTTTTTCTGCGCGACGAGGCTGGTTAATTCCCATGACATGTCCCATGATGTAGCCGCTCTCCACAATCGGCTTTGATGGTGCTCGAGGACGGTGAGGCCAATCTAGTACTATAAATCCGGGGCCGATTCCGAAGTTCTCGCCGCGAAGCACGGCGTGAACTGTATCTCTATAACTAAACCTAGTTGCAGTGACCGGCTCATATCGAGTTGGCTTCCCTCTCTCGCACGATAAGGTTTCTTGTAGAAGGCTCACTAACATCTGATCCCAGTTAAGGAGAGATGGGTCTTTGATCCTCGTTGATGTGCTGGTCAGTCCAAAAGTCGGAAGAACGGAGCAATAAAATAGGAAGTCCTCCTCGGCAGACGTATCCATGTCGATTAAGCCAAGCTCCTTGAGATCAAAACAAGTCTTTCCATTGATCAATCGCACCGCAGAGATAGACCTTCCGCGGATCGTGTACGTGCTTATTGTAGCTCCTCGCAAGGCCTCCTTGTTCCTGCGAAGACCGTGTCTCGTGATGACCTTCTCGCAGATAAGATTGCCACAACAGGGGCAATTTTGTGCCGATGACCGACTGGGGGGTTTGCGCATGAGTCTAAGGATATCTTTAGGGTCCACAGCTTGATCCAAAGTTTTGGAACGAAGCACGACAAGTCGTTTCTCGTCAGATATAGGGATCATCCCTTGGCAGATTACAGGCCATAATGAATGCGCAACGACTGACGCCATATGCGCCGGGTTCTGACCACCCAGCTCCTGAACGAGACCTGCGCGGTATGGAAAAGTCTTGTTCGGCATCTTCGCGTTGGGGAGAGTGTCAGGCTGGACGCTGATGACAGGGTATCCCAACAGGCAGCAGCACTGAGGTGCATACTCAAAGCAAACCAGACAAACCAGTTCGAATTCCCAAATAGATGGGTCCAAGACATCAGTGCGATCATCCTTTACACGTTTCCTTATCGAATGTCCGCCCTTGCCTAGCAGGTACAAGGCAGTCTCTGGAACAAGGTTTAAGCTCTGAGTGTTGGCAACCGACGCCGCTTCCCTTGTTGTTCTGCTGTGAGAACCAGAATTCGATTCACCATAGTCCGGTGGTGGAATGTCTGTGGATGAGTGCCCGTGCAAAGACTCTGAGGAGACTCCCCTTGCTTGATACGGCGGTGGAAGATCACCCGAATCGTTAGCGGAGCCACCGTTAACAGGCGCGGAAGCAGATGCTTGGGACGAGGGCCCAGCAAATGTTCTACTTGACGCCATATCGGCCAGAATACCCGCTCGTTATGCTAGTACGATAATACAGCTTGCGGAAGAAGTCAATATCAAATTATGAATTGAGGGTTTTAGGAGGTTTAGCCTGGTGCGCCAAAGTTGGTTGATAACCAAACACAAGAACGAACCAAGATCCCTGTCTTCAGCTCTGGGGCTGTGTGAAATCAAAGTCTTGGCTGACGCATATTGTTACGCGCACGTCTTTGGTTGGTTGTACGTGGAGAGTCTATCAATTATCGGGATCAGGGAGGGAAGGAAAGTAAGCTTAAAGGGGCGATGAACAGCACAGCCTTTGTTTGCCCTGAACCTGCCACAACTCACCTTGCACGTTGGCTTAGCCGAACTACATGGCGAAGCATCGACAGAACCCGTAGGATCAACAGAGCACACAACCTTACATGGATGATGGATAAAATGTGTTGTAATGCCTAGAGCGGTGGCAGCCGATGCTATTCACCATAGATATCTATATAGTATTTATTTCTATCGTAGCGGTGAATAGAGGTAGGCAGGTATAGGGTAGCTCGGAGAATACGAATTATTTTTCAAGATTCTTTAGATCCGTAAATAGTGTTCCTCTTCAGGCGAGCGCTACCAGAAAGGGGCATTAAGGGCAGAAATGTGCTCCCTCCCGTGGGTTGCTTTGGCTTCAACACGGGCTTCACTGATGTACATAACTTGGCTTGGAAGATGGCCGCCGCAGAGAAGAGTTAGGCAAATGACGCAAGCAGTCTCCTTGACTTATGCTATTCCGAGCGTCGCCCTATTGCACTGGCAAACGCTTAGTAAAGCGACTACAACCAGAGAAAGCTTGCTAAGGCTGTTGGGCCCATTTTGGACGCTCTCGCAGAAGAAGAGACACTGGTAAAGGGCAACGAAAGCTTGGTCAGGTTTGGACAGGCTGTGTGTGCGAACAAGGATCGCTTTCAGGGGATCGGCCTCCACATCGGCTATATCTCCGGTAGCGACTAACCAGATGGCTCGCACATTGTAGAACAAATGCCGAGATGTGTTCTCAAAGTCCCGTCGCCCATGCATAGATTCAGGTCGGGGGCGAAACCGGCTCGACTCTAGATTCGGGAGATGGCCTCTCTTTGTCGGTCCTTGCTACACAAGGGTTTGCATTAGCTGGCTCGCTTCCGTTTGAATCTAGAGGTAATCTAGGGCCCTAGAAGGAGAGTAGGGGTTGGCTAGGCGGACGTGCAGCGAGGTACCGACTGACTCCCCTTGACCGGCATTGAATTACCGTATGCGTATAATGCAGGCTTGTAATGAATACTAGTCAGGCCGTTGAGATGCGGTAGCCGTTAGTGCACCCATGCTGGAAAATCGCAATAAGGAAAGATGTGACGAGAACCCCGGCGCGATGCAAGATCGAGAATGGTCCAGATGTCCTGATACACGGGGAGGCAGGTTATTTGGGCCGGGCGGCCATCCTTGCCAAAGGCCTAAAAGCGGATCGTTCCGCATATATAAATTGCAGAGAACTGTTGGTAACAAGGGCAGCAAACATGGGACCCCCGGCCGAGGGCGGGTCAGAAGTCTTTGAATCTGCCAACCTCTCCATCGACTCATAGCCAACAGCCAATGATCAAAGTTCTGTAACATACTCTACAGTCTAGTATGTCACTGCAGCCCAGGCGGGAGGCAAACTATTCTCACAGATAACGTAATTCGCGAAATGATCGTCGCCGTTATTTCCCACAGAGACTTCCATGCCGGTGTTGGCACCAAAGCTCACGACCAACGCCTACTAACCCTAGCATAGAACACCATCGGCCGTCTGGAACCCAGTTATTCTTGCCAGTATTTGAATGAGAAGAGTTTTTTAGGCAAAAAGGGTCTTGCCCATACCCTTAGGGAGGTGTGCACAGGCGCCTAGGTGATCCCCAAGACCAAATTTCCCACACAAAAGAGGGCTAGTTTGAGATTCTTTCCACAATGGAACCAACGGTTTGAACCTTGACATCTCCCATTGTTTCGTTTCCAGTGATGGGCATTGAGGCTGCAGGTAGATCTTGCCCCATCCAAAAGACGGTATAGCCGAGTCAATGTCGCTGCAATATCCAGCTCCGCCTCCAGGGGCTTGGGAAGGGTTTCACTTGTCTTCCTGTATGTTTAAACAGCGCCATCGCCCTATGCATGCTAAGCCGTGTCGCTTCATTGCTCTCCTTGGAGGTTTTCTAATCATTTCTTTCTTTCAAATTATTCCTTGTTACGCTGCAATCACCGGTTTACTTGGTCTCTAGGCCATGGCTGGCTTTCTGGTTCCTGACCACTATGTCGTGGTAGAACCAAGTCTTACCGACCTGCTGGTCGCCAGCATCATTTGGGGTTTCACTCTGGCAGTAGGGATCTTTTCTGGCCACAAAGCGATAAAGCAGACTTGGGCGCAATGGAAACGGTCAGGTCGTGCAAAGCCATATATCCTCATGGTTTGGTCAGAATGGATTGCCTCTACGGTCATCGGGGGCTTGGCTTGGTGCTTTCTGCGCGGATACATTGCGCCGAGGTACGTCAACACCAACCGCGTGAATTTGAACAGCTCACATACTGACAAGATGCTGTGTAGCTTTTGGATTTACTTTACATTTCGTGCGAACGACCCCTCCCGACGACCCGAAGAATGGGATTCAGCTGACCGGCTACAACAGTTTCCCTCTGGGTTGTGCAGATTCAGTGCATCTGCGGCATCATCATAAACCGAATCTCCCTCCTCATGGTCAATCGACGAGATGCCACCAGGATTCGCTGGGTTACAGCCATTGTTCTGGGCCTCATCAACATCAGCGTCTTTTGCATTTGGATCCCTGCGCAACTGCAAATATCCCAACGATGGATTGATATCAACCATATCTGGGATCGCATAGAGAAAGGTTTATTCTTGCTGATTGATGCCGCGCTTCACGTCTACTTCATCTATCTCATCCGAGTTAAATTGGTTGCGAACGGCCTCGAAAAGTATATTCCATTGTTGCGATTTAATATCGCCATGGTATTTGTCTCCATGAGTCTTGATATCATCCTCATTGGCACCATGTCCATCGGAAATGGTTTCATGTAAGTTGCATCCATCAAAACACCAAAACGCGAAGAATGCGAAAACTAACAGACATAGCTATGTTCAATTTCATCCTCTCATATACATGCTTAAGCTGCATATCGAAATGAACATCTCTTCCTTGATCGTGCGGGTTGTCCTTGCAACCGGCGACAGCAGCTCGTACAAGAATGATTACAACCAGGGCACAGAGCTACAGTCCAAGTCCAAGGGCGGCAACACAACTGGAGGTGGAGCTGGACCTTCCAAACGAACTGGAGGCGGTCTGGAATCCTTGTTCTCGTCTTCGGGGAGAAATGAAGTGCAGATCGACGCTGATGGACAGGCTGTGCACAAGAAGAACACTCCCCGGGGTATTACAAGGGTTATACAGACGCAGGTCACTGTTGCATCAAGACATGACCAGGATGATGCAAGCTCGGAGTCATCGATGCGGCAGCTGAAGAACAGTACCCAGCACTACCACGACACCCTTTCTTAAGTCAAGCGTTCCAGGGGACTCGGTTGTGACGAACCATAGCTTTGGACCCGCAAATAGTCTCCCTCACGGGCCAACCATCAGCTTTCATGTATCAATAATTATTACTCAATTAGACTATGGACTGCATACAAGATCAAGCCTCCTAATAGCCCCCAATTGCAGCACGGGGGTATCCATGGCTGGTCTGTACAGCGGATAATCACTCGGTAGACGAGCAGTGTTAGGTTTAGCTTAACTTGACCCATCACAAACGCCTCTCAACATGGTTCGCAAGCGATGGAAAATCCAGACCATAATCAGCTGTAGCTCGAGACGCGTACTGAGGGGAGAGCCAGGAGCTCGGCGTAGTGCATTGCCTGTGTTGGCAACCAACAAGAAGTCTGCTCTGAGTAGGCCGATACCCGGCAAGCTAACTTCCCTTGCCAGCGGCTGCCTGCATCCATGCATGTTCGTTGGTGATATTGTAGTGTTACCTGCCGTGTCGAGACTGGCGCCACTGGACACCTCAGAATACTAATGCATGGCTGGACTGAGAACATGGGTGAACCAACAGTCTTGTTTTCCGCTGACCAGTAGGTTGGCTGCACTGCGTGCGATGACCGTTGGCCACCCCATTCTTCATTTCGGGTACCGGTCCGTCCCCGCCCGTGTACCCCTACTTATCTATACTTAGGTAGTTCAATAGCTGATCGTTGGGAGATGAGAGGGGGAGAATGTCAACGGAGATTCCACTGTTCTTGCTCGTACCGTTGGTGCGGGGGCGTCTGCCTTCTGGCGCCTTCGGAAAGTGAGCTGCACGACAGGACGAGATCAATGCGGGACCGGTGGACAGGCCAGGAAAGGATTCGCGCATGGCACTGCTGCGGGATAATGGACTCGGGACCCTTTGACGCAGGAATTGGATCCCTATAAGAAGAGCCCACCACGGAGGAATTGCCACTGAAACCTCAGACAAGAGTCGCAGATTTTCAAATCCTGAACCTGATTCCAAACGAACTATCAAGTAGCTGCCATGGGGCTGTACACTAAGCTCGCCAAGGACATTGATGAGGTCGACGTCATCATTGCTGGAGGTACGTTGACCCATCCTTGCTCTCCATGCCACGAACAGAAGCGCTGACATCTACCACGCACATAGGAGGCACGGCGGCATGTGTCGTAGCTGGGCGACTAGCTGAAGCTGACCCCGGCCTGTCAATTCTGCTCATTGAACAAGGTCGGGATAATCGTGGTGTTCAGAATATTGAGAATCCCGTCTTCTTTCTGGATCACCTGCTGCCCACTGCCACCACAACCCTGTTTTACAAGGGGAACAAGGCAGAACAACTAGCAGGCCGCGAAGCAATTGTTCCCTGCGGTGGAACTCTTGGCGGAGGCTCGTCCATCAACTTTATGATGTATACTCGCGCCCAGGGAGTAGATTTTGATTCCTGGAACACGCCTGGA